TTACAAACACGTAATTACATTAAATCAGCCGATTATTCAATTAAGTCGTTGCATCACTTTCAGAGGCACTGACAATAATCGAAAACATAACCTCTCTAAGAAGTTAGGAGTAGTGATTGTTAGTAATTAAAAACCAGATTGTTAGTAATAAAAAAACTGTCGTAGGTAAAGTAGTGTACGCAACTCGCGTTACTATTACCGAATCCCCTTTTTTCGCTCGAGAAAACCGTAATGTGCAATTTGGTATACGTTAAATTGTGAATTGTGCGTAAATTATACATAACAAGTCTTTGAGTTAAACAAAAGGTTTTTCCAATTTTTGTGTCAATTACTGTCATTTTTAGGGGTGCAGCAGAAGCGACATTCTGGTTTTACTTCTCTGTTTTAATTCTTATACAATTTTGGTTAGAAAAATGAAAAGACATTTTCTTCGCCTCTCAGTCTCTCTTAGACTACAATATTCATTGTGGTGTATAAAATGTTGCTATTATTTCTAAAATAATTGTTTATTTCTATTTTATCTAACCTTTTGACATACAGCAACTTTTTAACAACCAACCCCGATTGAATGTTCGATTTTGTTGTTGTTTTTTATCATTACTAGCTGTTGCCCGTCAGCTTCGCCCGACATACTTTTGAGGTTTTTTTTATAAGCCCGCTGAAGTTGTGACTTCGCTGCCCCACTAGAAAAAGCAGGCCATGCTGCAGGATCCATGACGTCATAGATAGAGTCATAGATAGATGGAGTGGATAGATTTCATTGATAAATTCATTGCCATCACCATTCCCATATGTTTTAGGAAAATAAACAAGCTGGCTGTTTGTAAGATTTTAAATGGTAAGAGTTTAGTACAACTATCCACCACTGTGACGTAGTGTTGCGCTACCCGCGCTGCAGCATGGCCTGTTTTTTCTAGTGGGGCCTTTTCGCTACGGAACTACTCTCTCTGTAAAATCCCACATAATGTTATTACCAAAAATATTATTCCTGTTTTATTTCCATTCACTCATAATTATACCGTAAGCAAAATTTTCCAAAAAATTTATTAAAAAGTATTAGATAAGTTAGTTTATCTTAGAGTAACGTTAAGTAACACAAAACTTTTTTTGTGACATGATGTTCTCTGTCACCTTATCGGCATGCTCCTGATTTGATTATTGTCTTTTTTGCCGTCCCTTCTCTTTAATATTTATGTTATTAAAATACTACCTACATATTATTGTTGTTAAATGTTAAAACTTATTCATGACTGATTTTTTTTAATTTAAGATTTTTGAAATTTTGTTTAGTTAGCTAATAAAATATATCCCAATATTTAAATCTTATTTAATTGTATTTATTCTAATGTGAGTTTTAATAGTTTATTCAACTTTATTGTATTACTTTGATACCCAATAATGTTCATTGCGTCTATTTTGTATAGGCTTTTACCTAATATTTACTGCTAAGGTAGGTATCATGTTACTGGTCTATAATTTTAGAATTTGGGATGATTTTTTTATGTATACGATAGCACAAATCCATTTTTAATATATTGAATCATTTGATTAACTTATATCAGCTTCAATCCTAAAGATTTCTAACAACAGAAAATAAGTTGTTTATTTTGTAGCTAAATTCACTAATGGTATCACATTACTGTACATCTATAATAGTTATAATTGGGAATACCTTTTTGCGCTAAGAGTACCTTAACCGAAAAACATCTCTATGCTAGTCTCATACAATAAACATATATATTGTACAAACAATATGTTATTAATTTTTTTGTTAAGTTGTTACTGTTTATGTCTATATTTGTTAACTGTGTTAATAATAAACCTATTATTTTAATGTCGTGTATTTTTTACTCACATACTATAATATCCAGTCTATAAAAAGGCCCCATAGGATATCCATATTTAAATTGTCATTGCTCATTCACTATACTGTATTTTATTTTTTAATTAAAAATTGGCTTCACCATGTCCAAATAGATGGACAGACTCTCCAACAATCTTAAATTAAATCAGAATTCAAACCGAAGTAAAGATTATATAATATAAAAAGACGAATCCGAATGCAATTCACAAACATCAATGTTCGAAGGTTGTCCGGTTCCAATCCGCCAAACTAAACGCTTGGAAATGTATAACAGATTTCGATTCGCACGTTGAACTATAAACGTCAAGGATATCCAGTGAATCGTGAGTGCTTCTCCGTGATTGACTCTCAAAACGAATCTTTTCAACCTGGACCTAAACATAAGGTGTTTCAAACTGTTGGTTTCTCACAAAACTATGTTGAAACACACAACTGAAAAAAAATAGTTCGAAACACCATTGAATTGTCGGAACATAAAGGTCATTGGGTGGAGCGATACGTTCTTACTGCACACGAAAATCAGGAACTACTTATTTTAAACATCACAGCCACATTATTATTAAGTTTATATCCTGCACAGTGTTTTGTATTATTATGTTAGCCAGACTTGAAGCAATGTGACAAACAATTCCAGTTATGTGCTCAAAAGGGTGGAGGTTTTTTAGTGAAGAGTCTTATAAATTCAAGTCTCACACTACATGCTAGTTGGCCCCCTGTGTGCGTAAAATCATTTTCCCTCCTCCCCCTTGAAAAACATATTTTATATTATAAATCCGTATTTTTCCGAATTAACGCAAAAACTATACTGGTGGGTGTCTAAATTTCAAGGTAGATCTTTTCCAAGTAAATATTGATTTGGTGTCATGAAAGTTAAAATAAAACCCCAATTGCACTAATAAACAATTTTCCATTATTTACATTTAATTTAAATGCATTCTTGTTACTTTATTCTGTCACACATTAGAAACAAACTTGAGCTGAGGATTATATAAGACTTAGTTGTACAAGTGGATCTTGTTTGATGGTGGGTGTGTAGCGGTGAATTAAAGGGGATTTTGAAAACCATAACGTTCTTTTCTGCATCCTCTCCCCATTGTAACATTATACCGAGTTTACTCCTTTTACTTTCGTTTTAAGAGATTCGTCAATTAAGTAATCAAATGCATTCAGTATATTCCCTACTTCATGAAAACAAAACACGCAAATGCATTGTCATAATGCTAAGACAACATTGTAAAGTTCAAATTTACAACGGTTGACGCACTTGATAACTAAAGATAGTGGTATAAATTCAAGTAAACGCAAAGAAATGCTATCCTGGTATTTATAGTTTACTGTAATTGTTTTTATCGGGGACGAAAATTCCTATATGGATGTGTTATCAATCAGTATGAAAAAAAAAACTAAACAGCTGTCAAGAGATCGCGTTTATCAATATTCCGAGGTTATGATTATCAAACTAATTCAAACAAAGCAAAAACATGGTAGTAATAAAGTAATATCAAGCCTCCACATAAATTACACAAACACTTTCGTTTACGTTGTTACCCAAATTACTCACATAGAACTCCATGTAACTATTTGTACCGTAAAAAATTAATTCCCAGGTAAAACCCCTCATAACGCCAACTAAATGAAAACACTTTCAATGACGTATGTTTTAGGTCTATCTGTTTACCAAAGTCCCCAATTACTCACATGAAACTCCGTAATGTAGTTAATTCTTAGGCAAACCCCTTCATAACGGCAACCCCACATTAAAGACCGTATCATCAGACTGGGAATGGGAAGTTTGTTTAATTGTGTCCCTGGTTTCCCTGTCCTGCGGCACGGAATGACGCGGACGTTGGGCTGTTTCACTGTTTACCTAGTGAACCAGACAATAATCGCTGCAGAACCATTTTAGAAATGTTATTTCGTACATGAATCATGGTTGGAAGGTTTCCACAATAGCGAAAATAAATTATTTGACTACGAAAAAATATGTAAATCAGAAATAATCTTGTTTCGATAACATTAAAAATGGTTAACAAAATTTTAAAAATTGTCAGAAAAATAGAGAAAATAAATTTCACAGTTAAGTGTAGTTTTTTTACCACTGTATCAGAAACCTAAAATATTTTTTTTGGATTTTGAAACTTAAAAGGGTACTTTGGTATACCGACTACACCTAATAATTATAATTTAGCCTAACCTAACTATGTTTTTGGTTAGGTTCGATTAGGCTAGGTTAGGTTAGGAAAATTTTCTTATTTAAACTAGTTAAAATCTTATTTAGAAGTCGATTTATCGGTGTGGTTGGTACAATACCAAAGTACCCCTAGAAGGATTTTTGATTGACAAGTTCTCTAACAAGTGTTCTGTAAATATCCGTTGACTTAACTTAAAAATCTTATAAAACATAACAAAAACCTAAATTAATTACTTTCTACAAAACACATTATCAACGTTGCAAACACTGTCAACGTTACAACGATTTATTCACAGTCAATTTCATAAATGAAAATAAAATCATGACATGTTCTCTTCCTAAGCAGGTACAAGTGAAAGGTAAAAGAATCATCCATTTGACGATGCTATAGTTCTACTCTTGAGAAAATGTTTAAGCTAAAGACAATTTTTGGTTAATTCTGTCTAGTCGACGTATAGAAACTCTCTATTCACTATTTGTCTCTTATTTCAGCCAATTCCACCAGCCATAGACAAAGGTTTACTGCCGAGTCTTTTCAAGAAGAGGACCACCACCAAAACTTTGCCCTATACAAATCTCTGGGTTAGGCATCCCCTTCATTTGCATAGGGGACATGTTAATAGTATCCTTCTTTTTAACAGTACCCCCAATTTTTACGTTAACACCAAATAACTCACACATAACTATTACAGCACAAAAAAAAACTAAAATATAATTCAGTGAAAAATAGTCCCAACCCAAAACGTAAACACTTTCACTGGGGAATCGTGACAAAACTTTACCCAGTAATCAGCTGATCATCCCTGCCCGCCAAAATACAGCGATATGGCGCGAAGTGTGCCCCCGGCTGTGATAAGAGGGGCCTGCGCGGTCTCACGCCCCGACAAGGCAATTTCAAGGTCGCACAGGTCTTGATACCGCACAACCTCCCTAGCCTCTCAGTCACCAGAGTTCTATACTACGGGACACGCTGTCGACACATTGGTCCACAGACAGATTGTGCAGGTAATCATTATAATATTTTGTTTTTTAATTTTTGAACTCCTTAATAACTAGGATTAATTATGTTAAATTAATTGAATTTCCATGAATTGTAAATTAAGAATACATTTTTTTTAAGAATTCTTTCACACTTTTTAATTTTTTAAATAGGCTCATGTTTTATACTTTTATAATTAAATTTTTAATATTGCACAGTTATTATATTGCAAATTTGTTTTTTACCTTGAGAGTTTTTAATCTGTAACACCTAGTCGTCAACATCTACATAATTTAATGGGGAATATTGCTCAGATTTTGAAGTATTTTTTTCTTTTATACGTCTGTTTTTATTTAGAGATTTTTAATTTTTTAAATAATTTAGTTGTTAGTGCATTGCTAATTATAGCACAGTAAATGGAGAAAATTGTTAAGTTGTTGAAACATTCGCGTAAATATATGTAGTTTGCATAATTTTACGTACTGTATATGTAAACAACTCCATTTTACAATGCAAAATTTGCTCTTTTAAATTATCATGTTTTTGTTAAGAACATTAAAATAATTAAACATTATTACATTGGGAAAGATGTTGTGTACACTCTTAGACTATTAATTATTTATTAGTAATGGTATCATGTAACTAAAAAAATTAAACTAATTCTTATTATGTAAACTTAACATCCCTAAAAATAACTTACATTTATTGTTTGTATGCAAATTGAAAACTCGACTTGACCTACGTGTACTAAACTACAGCAATGTGAGTAAGAACTTCCCTCCTAATCTTGTGTTTTAAACAAACATGAAAAAGCGATACCATCGTAAATCATATTAAATGAATACCAGAAATGTAAATTATTTAAATCAATTTAAATATACCGTACTAAAATGTACTTAAATGTACTTAAAATGTAACGTCCTCTTTTTTATATAATTGGTTTTCAATCAGCAAGCTCTTTAGCTATATGAATAGTTTACCAATCCAAATGTAGGTTTCTATCAATAGAGTTCCCATGTAATGTAAAAATTTGAAGCAAAAAAAAGGTGGTGCAATCTGTTGAGATGGTTACCACCAACTGATAACAATATTCTATGTCAAGTGATAAATTAATCAGCTGTTTGCTATAATACTGCATTAAATTTAAGTTATTAATTTTTAACCTTTGACTAATAGAGTTTTGACTATTAATACCTCTGTATCCAATAGTCAATGCTGTCAATGATTTAACCTAATACATTAGTAAACTCTGGTGGGATGGTCCTGAACTTCATATATTTTCTTGGCTTCAAATTTTTAAGCTTCAAATTTTAGGTTTCAAATGGGAAGCCTATTCTGTTTATAGCCATTGTTTCTATCCAAAGTCATCCATGAACTGATTTATCAATCGTTAAAAAACATTAAGAACTATTTTTTTTACTGATCAAATGATTATAAAATGATAGGATTATTAGTGCTATACTGTGCGCTTATAGGTTATAGCATAGATAAAACATAGTCCCTTAGTAGATTTCCCATCCTTATAGAACAGCTGAAACTAATTTTATCCGGTTAGTTCTGTCCGGTTTTCTGTAGATGTCGTATTTTGTTTACAATTTGTTTCTATTATTTTAGGGTTAGTTTCTCATTAGGCTATTTGTGCCTCACTGTGGTTATATAGCTAGTGGATGAGTTATTGTTTATGATTAGATAGTTTTATTTGTTTAAACGAGGTTTTAAATTGCTGAAATAACAAGAAACAAATTGTAAACAAAACACGACATCTACAGAAAACCGGACAGAACTAAGAATAAAATTGGCTTCAGCTGTTCCATAAGGATGGGAAATATACTAAGGGACTATGTTTTTATCTAGGGTTATAGTTATATGTATGTATATTGCATAGGCTATAGTTCGTTATATGCATAGGTTAAAGTTACCGGTTATATTTACAGGCCGAGTATTTTTTAGGTGAAAAGCATTGATATCATATCGTCATTTACCTACTTGTTAACACCATTGTCATTTATTTGTGTTCATAATCGAGATACATCGCATAAGTTAGTACAATAACTATTCCTTTATCAATAGACTAATTTAATTTAAAAAATAAAGTAGATTTAATGTACTCTATTACAGTAATTTTTATTTAGTCTGTAGCTATTTTAAATGCTACTTATTTTTATCCTAAATATAGTGAGTGATTGTACAGTTCTATTCGGAGTTGAAATGAAGCCATTATCGAACATACGAGACAGCTTGTTTGTTCAACATCAATAAACCTACTAATTGAAAAAACACGCATCATGCAATTTTACTTCAATAAATAGTTATGATATAAATATGTGTATTTTCAAATGTTATTTATATTCGTGCATAAAATAAGAATATAGTGTATCTGTTGCTCGAATTCGAGCAACTGCGAGATATTACAGCGTTATTTTAAAACGAATAACAGTCATAATTTCCAATGACTTTTAAAGAGTCGCATCAAAGGTTATGAAAATACTCACGATGTGCATAACAGTTCGATATAATCAACAATTCTTGTAAATATCTTATAATTTTTCTAAAGATGATCTTGTTTTTAGTGTTCTACAAATGTTTCCCACTCATAGATGCATTAGGTTGTCCATAAAAACGATTATAAATTCTAAAAATAAAACATTAATTCTATTTTTTCTAATTGGTGGTGCTCTATGACTTTCCTATGGATCCATAGTTAACAAATCGGTTATTTCAATGATTGCTCAAGAAATGCAGCACAGTGTTGTTTCAGTTATCTTTTTAGTATATCAAATTGTCCAGGCATTCTCGCTTTTTTCTTCCATAGTGGTATTTACCCAAATTCAAAAGTAAATATTCAATTTCAACCTAGCCATTAAATGTTTGTAGCACACATTTCCTTAAATTGCAACTAAATTAACAGCAATTAAATTATCCAGTTGATCATAACGTAAACAAATATGTTCTTCATAGTATAACATGGTAACTTTATTATTATATATTACTAATTATCCTGGGACAGAGCCCAAGGGACTTTTTCAAAAATGTAAGGTCAGTTTGCAAATCTACAAACCTAGACGAACATTTTTTTGTATAATATGTGGGGTTAAATCTTATAACAAAAAATCCTTATGGTTCACAAAGTTTCATATAGCGTATTAACAATTTAACTAAAAATCAAAAATAATGTTAATAATTGCTACCACAGAACTGCTTCGCTTAGATGATCCTAAATGGCTACATCATCTTAAATTATTAATTATTATACAATTGTTTTCTTAGGCTTATTATTATTATACATCTATCTATATCTATAAAAGAGGAACTATGTATGTATATATATGTGTATATACGTTACGGACTCCGAAACCGCTCGACAGATTGTAATGAAACTTTCAGGCATTATTAAGCATCTTTCAAGGATGGTTCGAGTGAAGTTTGGTGCAGATCCGTCAAAAGGGCTCTGCCCCAGAGGGTTTTAAGTGGGCCAATGTCAGACTTTTTGATCTAGAATGTTTACAAATAAATATAATTTAAAAGCAGATGTTTACTTTTACAAACTGTGTTGTACCATGTTGTGTATTAGCATTAGTCATGATTTGAAATAGTGCCACAGTGTTTCTACAGATTGCAGCACAGAAAACTATTTTACTTTTGAATAAGTCCAAATGTATTAAACCCCAATCGCAGCACACCTGTGCACTTAACAACGTTTAAATTCTCCAATGTTAAATATTAAAACATAAAAACCTTTATAAAAGTACTGGATTATAAACAATAAAAGGGATGACTTTTTTAAATGTATGACAATAGCTAATTTGCAACCAAAAGGTGAGTGAGCGTAGCGAACGAACATCAACCTGGAGGCGAGTAAGCGTAGCGAACGAGCTAACCTGAAAACAAGTGAACGCAGCGAACGATTTCCAACCCGAAGGTGAGTGAGCGTAGCGAACGAACTTCAAACAGGACGTGATTGAGCCATGCGAATACTTATGAAGTTAGGCGGGGCAAAGCCCGCGGGTACAGCTAGTATACCACTAAAAATATTATAACATTTTTTTGTAGTGAGTATTTACACATCCCTTCTATAGATTGGTTGAGTTTTCCAGTTTATTAAATTCACAGTTCCAAGTAGCATGTTATAGTAACGTCATGGTTTTACACTGGATTTGTTTCGTTATTTGCTATGTTTGTCATTGCTAATAATAAATGGGAATATATTTAATCAATCAGGGAATTTTATCACGTTCATCTAAAATATTAAATAACCCCACAACCAGTAGTAAGTGCTTTTAACAAAGAAAAAATGTTTTAAGCCTACATTGAGTTAAAAATAGGGTTTAGAAGCACATGCCATAAGAAGTAATCAAGCGTTAAGTGACCCCTGTTACTAAATGGCACATTTGACAAGATATTAAAGTCTCGTGAAAGATGCCTGTCTACCCTTAAGCTATACTCTGGCATGATCCAGTCAACATTTCAGCAACATGAAGCCTAGAGCGTAAAAGTCTAATAGGACGGTTAATAGGTCTATTAGTTCCTACGAGACTTCCGTAGTAAAGTTTGTTGTTCAATGGAGACCGACGTCAATCATGCAAAATGTTACCTTATCCTTTATCATAGATAAACAAAACATATATAGACTATCTACATACAAAAATAAGTGCAATTTTCGAAATGTTATGATGATTTGGATAAGCTTCTTCTTGATATTTTACAGTTTCCTGAAAACCTTGAATTCGCCCTACGTACAAATTAGCCTCGGGCCTGATCTTGGGTCCTTTGATCATTACATTAGTACATTACATTACATTAGTACATTAAATTACATTAGTGCATTACATTAGTAGAAATGGAACGTGTCAACAAGCAAGGGGTTAGCCACCGAGTCGGTACAGAGCAAGATTGAACTGGACTGATGTTTTTTAAGTGGTGACAATGAGGAATAACCACTAACCCAAAAAACATTGCTACCTACTGTACTTTGATTCGACAATCGCGCTACCGACTCGCACAGCAATCAATTGGTAAATAGCATATACCAACTTTGGTAATTAGAATAATTAAATTAATCATTTCAGCAAATCAACGTTATGAGCATAATCATACTTTCTTATTTTTGTTTATAAACAAATGCATTGATCGATCGTTTAATCCATTTAGCTAAAAATCCTGATAAATCGGAAATCATTAAATGACAAATACGCATTTATGTTCTACAATTATTGAGGATTTTCATTGTAAAATTGTTGAAAACCTGGCCAGCTATATGGTAAAACTACAACTAGGCCTACTAGGGACACAACTTACTACCTATCTAGGCTACTTGCAAGTATTTATCGTGGACTTAATCGATGGCATTGACGGTACTTATCGGCCAGGGAAACCCGATCTGTTCAAATGTCGTCGGTGGTGATGCTCAAAAAATGTATTTTTAGCGAATTTCCCATATAGGGAATAAGCTATTACCGTAGTACTCACGGTAAGACCTGGACCCGGGACCGATTTTTTTTTTCGTTTTGAGGTCCCTAGAGGTCAAAAACACCATCCGTTCAAATTCATATATATATATATATATTTATATATATATATATATATATATATATATGTGTCCGTTAGCGCGATAACTCGAGCAAAAATGATCCGATTTTGATGAAATTTGGTACAAACGTATAAACCTACGTTTATTCGAACGAGTTCGCGAACCAGCATGATCGGACCATGGGAATGGGGGTTTATGGGGGCTTTTATGGGGTAAAAATGGGTTTTTCCCATTTTTGACCCAAAAAACAAAAAATTTTGCAATTTCTTTCAAAACTATTTTGTAGAGCTTAAAAAAACAAATAATTTAGTATATTGAAGCGTTATAATGCGCCTAATGGTTACGGAGAAAATTCCAAAAAATTGTAAATTTAAAATTCCCATGTTATTCTTATGGAGAATAAGTAAACTGTTGTAGTTTGCTTGTTTATAAACATATTTTGCCAAAATTTGGAAAATGTTTTTATTTCTTACTAACTATTAACATTTTACATAAAAAACACTTTTACCCTCCCTGTTGCAGCAAACCTAAGTATGTTTTAAACTGATTCTATTTAAATAGGGAATAAATGTGATATTTTTAAGGAGACATTTTAGTGTAAATCCATTCAGGGAAATGGAAATTCGCTTAGTCTGCAGGTTTGCTGCGGCGGGGGTATTTATTTTAGTTATTTGTGTTCATAAGATCCAACTGATTAATTGATTTATTTGCCTTCCAATCATTGTACATCGGGATTCAAGAATTACAAATCAGATTTGTGTATTAATTCATTCAAACACATACATGAAAACTTGAGAGGATTCTTGCCATATTTCAACGATCACATGCTCTATTTATGGATGTCTAGGCGGAAGTAAAAAAGGTTGGCGTAAAAGAGAACATTCCCCGTACGCGCCGGTATCGAGAATGTTATCTTATGTTTACATTTCGCTTGGAAACGGTTAAAAACTCCTGTGAGGCTGAAAGTAAACTTGTATGTTGATAAGTTTTGTCTTTTTTATAAAGCAAATCACAACAAGCGTTACACGTTAAGAGATAATACCATTGACTATATAAACATATAGTCAATGATAATAATGATAGTACGTATGTGGTACAAAGAATCAAGATGAGACTTTTGGGTTATGCGCATAAAAGACAGTTAGTTAAGCTATGAATCAGAAATTATATTTTATTTTGTCCTAACTTAATTTAACGGCTATATTCAAGATATTATGCAGTATATGATTTTAAAATGGATTGTTCACCTTCAGGGCCTGATAATGATTAGAGTAACCAACATTTAAAATCTATCACTTTGGGAACTAACACAAATCCATAGTATAAAATTCAATTCAAATAAGTGTGTTTAACCTTTGACTAAATACATCAATGGTTGAACTAATTGTGTTATATTTCCAAACCGGTTGTTACAATAACAAGCTTTACTAGATGAATAGCGCATATTATATTTATACTGAATATCATATTCGGTCAATAGCTTCTGAGTAGGATGTTTACTATTTCGGCTACACTAACTATAGAGTGTTTAGCTGAGGTATCTTTTTTTTATCTATTAATACGTTTGATTGTTGTTTAAATCGATTGAATATTTGCTGAAAAGTAGAGCTTTAACAATTTCCTCTTTGTTCTTCTTTGAAATGTAGTGCACCACATTTCTGACATTTTAATGCCATCTCGCCAAGTGGATGCTGGTGAATTCCCATATTTGTCAGTCAATTTTGTAAGTGCACGGTGCCTTTTTGCAACCTTGGCCTTTTTTGCCTTATTTCTAGCCGTATGTTGTCTCGCCGTGTCCGACAGGCAATTTTTTTGTCGCCTCGTCCTTGGCATGACGAAAATAAAATGTAAGACTTTTTCCCGCCGTGTCCTTTGCCGGCTTTCTAAGTATTTTTAAAAACATGCAAATTGCAAACTACATGTCAAAACCAAACAAAACAGCTGGGATTTATTTTTGATGGAAAACAAATGTATTGACACCTGCTTCAGAATGTATTTATCATTCAAATCAATCACAATGTTATCCTTATGGAAGTAACTCTGAAGGTTTGAAGGCAGCCCACGCGCTTAAACAGATATATTACGAAGATCTAAAACCAGTTTGCACATCTACACACCTAGAGGAAAATTTTGGTATATAATATGTGGGGGTAAATCTTGAAACAAAAAAGCCTTATTGTTCACAAAAAGATGATGGTTTCTGAGGGGTGATTAAAGGATAATATAATTTAAATTCACTATACATTTTCTGACAATTTATTATAACTAGTTTGCTCTGCCCGTGCTTTGCAACGGGATGAGAATACAGAGGATAATAGCACGGTTCTATATCTACTGCAAAAATTATTGAAACACACCCCTCATTGATTATAGGAAGACAAATCACAATTAATTGTACCATACCGTTTATTTTTTATGAATTTTCCCCCTACGCTGTAAATAAAACATGTAATAGTAATTTCTTCCATTTGGTTTGATTTTCTGTTTATATTTTGCTGTTATTTCGTCACCAGCATAGCAACCCATAAGGCCCATGTTAATTTTTTTTATTTAAAATTCATTTTATGTGCTTATTCTGAGCCTATTCTAATTTATAAAGGGGTTCTGCACATCGACAGGAAAATATATTTCTAACAGTATGCGTAGATTTTCCCTGCGATGCACACGAACTGATAAAAAAGGTTTTAAAGAAACATGCTTGCCTATTAATAATATATAGATAGGCTAAATGGCAAATTTTGGTACAATAAAAGAAGGAAAATTATATAACTAAAACGGATGAATGTAATGAATAGGCTATCATTGACATGTAACATTGCAATTATAAATATTGATGTAATTACTTGTATAAGTTGTCAAAATCGTATACAATTCAAGGTTTCTAGTTTCTATAAAGGTCTACTCTATTAATAAGTTTAAAACGTGAGATTTTATTGTTACATAACAAACGCATATACCCTTGAAACGGGTTGGCAGCCAAATAAAGTATCTGGGTACAAAGGAACTGGTCGATGAAAATTATAATCAGGACCAACGCTAGGTAGGTTGTCATGGTCGTGGAGCAGGAACTTGAACGACACTTGCTACACGGACCGGCGGACTCGGACCCGCCACTAGACAAGGAAAACGGGCAGTGGAACAAAGGATATGGAACTTGATTGTTGGAATGTTGACCCATTTGCATAACCTCCTCAAATGAATCATTAAGAAAAAAAATACTGGCTTATGTTTATCTGGAAATGAATGAGGATGGGAACATTTAGGGTTTTGATGTTAGATGCATAATGCTCTAATCAAGCATTATGAATTTCGCCTTTAAATCCGAAGGTAACGAGATCAATTCATTGAAAAAAATAATTAAGGTCTATTTTGGACCAGTTGTAGAATGAATTGACTTATCTTAACCTATCACATAAGGTTCCAGCTTGGCGTTAGAAACAGCATCAGGGTTATAACGTAATTTACAAACGTTATGTCAACCACATAGGTACAGTAAATTTGATTCACTGTAAATATGTATGAACCCTCTCAGTAAAGCATTCCCGTCTAGGATTAAATTGAAAGTAATACAGTATCTGGGATTGCTTGTCACATTATTTCCTAGGATTTTGAAAATTGTGCTGTGTTTGTATGAAAAAGTTATAATACTGTAGTTTCCATATTTATGTAGTATGGAAAATTAAAATTATGTTGTGTAGGTTAGCAGCAAAATGTTCAACTATAGTATTATAACTTTTTCATACAAATACTAAAAATACGATATTTTTAGAGTGTTGACGACATCATAAAACTTGAACTAAAAACTGTCTTCGCTCTTGAGTTTTCACGTCTTCTTGTGTATTGGGTCTTATCTGCTCTCGTCACTTAATGACGTATCTCACGGGAATTTGTAGGAACTTTTTTTTGGTAGTCACTGATGGCGGTAATTCGTCAATTAGAATGAGCGCGTTCTGGGAACACTGACTGGTGCACCGGTACATGTTCCCAGAACGGGAAAAATGTTAGTGTTTAGCAAGAAGAAAGCTTTACAAGTCAATAACTATTACAATCCCAATTTGGTATTATTTTTCACTTGACCTGACCACAAAAATCCCACACGAATGTATTTGCTAGACCCAATTGGAGGAAAGTAAACCAAATATCTAGATAGTCTTATCATTGCTTAACTCAGTTGTTGTTCCCAGGCAGTATGGAGAGTTACCAAGTCCCGACTGCGAAGGCAGCCCCAGCTGGAGTGGCTAGCTCTCTCACAATGTTGGCTGTGTTCTGCAGCCTCGCCTACCTCGCCATGTTCAAGTGGAAGCGACGGAGGTTGGAGAAGCTAGGCTCTCAGCTCCCTGGGCCTCCTGCTCTGCCTATCATCGGCAACGGTCTGGAGTTCGTGGGAGATCCAGAGGGTGAGTTGGGGGAAGTCTACCTTCACCTCCCATCTCCATTTCCATTTCAATCTCCACCTCTACCTACCTCAATATTCACCTCCATCTTTATCTCCACCTCTACCTATCTCAATATTCACCTCCATCTCTATCTCCATCTTCTTCTCTATCTCCATCTTCTTCTCTATCTCCATCTCCTTCTCTACCTCCACCTCCTTCTATATATCCACCTCCATCGTCACCTCTACCTACCTCCATCTTTATCTACACCTTCACCTCCTTCTCTACCTCCATCTCCTTCTCTATCTCCACCTCCTTCTCTACCTCCATCTCCTGATCTACCTCCACCTACTTCTATATATCTCCACCTCCATCGTCACCTCTACCTACCCCCATATTCACCTCCATCTGTATCTCCGTCTCCTTCCCTACCCCTACCTACTTCCATATATCTCCACCTCCATCACCACCTCTACCTAACTCCATCACCACCTCTACCTACCTCCATATCCACCTCGATCTCTATCTGCTTATCTACATCCACCTACTTCTATTCGTCTCCGCCTCCATCACCCCCTCTACCTACTTCCATGTTCACCTCCTGGAGGGGGTATAACCGTTTTGGGGGGTGTTTCATGTTGAGGAGGTTTTAGTGCGTTGATAGGCATTTCTCTTATTTGAGGATAAATTTCTTATAGTACTTTTATCTTCTCACGTTTGATCTTCTACTTGATTATATAAATATATATTTTAATTAAAAATATACCGGACAAAACCCCACTACCTTAATATTTTTTAGCTGATCCATAATCATGCCAAATTTAATACCTATTGTGCGGAGCTTTACCTTGTCAAATTTAAATTAAAATTTATTCTCATTTCAGATGTCATGAATAAAGTAGTGACACTGACCAGGAAATTCGAGTCTCCTTTTCGTATATGGATTGGACCGATTCTGTTTGTCGTCATCAGCAAACCAGACGATCTTCAGGTAAGTTCTAGCTTGTCAATGGTTCTAGATTAATAATTAGATGTAATGAATGTTTATTTTATAAAATATCTGTCATAGGTTTCTTCTCCCTTATTTTAACACTAAAATTGAACTGGAACACAAATTAACTTTAACATAACAGTGAAGTCAAGTCTTTAGCAGACGAAAGCTTGTCTGTAGGCTCTGTTTAAACGGTATCCTCCTCGTGTCGGAATCTTTAACTCTGGCAAAACTACAAATTAAAACCGGATGTTGAAACTGACGTGAGAGAATTGACAATGGATCTCATGTCGGAAGGTTTAACCTCTTCGTTCACACGATTGTAATCCTTGTTATGGCAATTGCACTTAATGCTCTGCTACCGTTTGTTTTTCCACCATGCAGATTCATTTTTTGAAGATATTTTTACTATTGTAGCATCATTGATTAGTTTTCTTTTACATGATCAAACGTTTTATGAATGAATGAAAATACTTTGTTATTGAGGCGAACATTAGGGCCATATGGTCCTTTCTTACAGTTAACCTCTTATGTACTAAATATAAACTAAACAATGCATTTTTATAATAATTTATTAGCTAATATATTGGAATTTTTTATGCGGATTTATTAGTTGAGAATTTTTATAATATTACCAATTGAGATGGGGGTGTATTGAAACCCGATTATGAGTGAAGGAAGAGTGTAGAATGAATTGAGCTGCCTTAAATTGTGTATCGTCATCGACTACCAGATCGTTTCCTTATCCAGAACCGTTTTATTCAAAGCCTTATTGAGGATCTGGATGTAGTTTTGAACTATCAACAACTTACTTTCATAACTTATATTGATTAACTTTTTAGTTGCACTGTAGATGTATAAATAAGTCATTTAAAAAAAGATTATGCGTGCGTTTGTTTTTAGGTTAGGCCTATTTTATTTGCTTACCGGTTGTTATGTACCTGATCGCGACGGTGGTTAGTGTAGAAACGCTAACTGTGAAATCAGCTGATTAAAGATCGAGAATTGTCCATTCCATTCTTGAGCGAAAAAGGAAAAGAGCTATTTTGCGTACTATTTACAGGTGTGGAAATGTGATAGTTTCCATGCAGTGGTAGGAAAAATACATTGCAAACCTTACCCATCCCCTCCACTGATAAATTATAACCCTGTTTAAAAGAGTTATTTGTTCTATAGCATATTTTTATAAATTGTTATACTTTTGTTGATGAATTTAAAATATTAATTGACGTTAACAATTCTCTGGGGATTTTTTTTAGATTGTGTTGAACAGTTCTAAAACTCTGGCCAAAGACCCTTTGTACAGATTCTTCAGGAACACTGTAGGCACTGGACTATTCTCAGCTCCAGGTAAGTTATTTTGTATTGTAACATATTATTATTGTTAGAGCAGAAAATTAATTTATTGCAGACGTAGCCTTCAGAGAGTTTACCAAGACTAGTTGCAGTGTCTTTATCATTAAAACCTTCTATTTATGTCCTAGTGAAGAGGAGGTGTAGATTGAGTTAATAGCACCAATAGCACTAACATAGAAAAATACTTATTCTGTATGATTGTCATTGTTGAAATAATTTTGTCCATAAATATTTTTTTAACTTTTGTTAACTTAATACTTGCCTAGTTATTGATCCAATTCAATTATTTAACACACCACACAATCTTTTTGTGTATTTTAAGCTGAACACGAAAGAAGAGTGGGCGTAGAGTGGAATGAGATGATCTGTATATCTAGTGGGGTCATACCCTTTGGTAATTCTGTTTAGGGATTTTTATTATTGATCCGTCAAAATTTTGAATTTGGAGCTCTTAAAAATTGTCAGTATGGAAAGGCTCGAATAGAGAATTGGGGAAAACGTGTTATTACAACTTAGTAATCCTAAGGATTGTTTTTTAAAGGAAGAGAGTTTTTCTTGCCTTTTTCAAATATTTAAGTATTGGAGCTAAATTATACACAATGATCTCCTATCACGATATTTCTTCTAAATAATATAGAACTTCATCAGAATAGATTGAAGAGACAACCATATATTGTTAGGTGACCTTTGACCAACTTGTCTTTCCAATATAACCTTATAATGTGATCCTGTAATTCACTACAGTAGTCTACAATGATCATCTGAAAACCCTATACACTTTTACAGCTATACAGATTTTAACCTCTGACAGTCTGGCGCAATAAAAATCAAGTTGAGCCTGTGTGATGCCTAACTATAATTTTGTTTACAGTTGAGAAATGGAAACGCAATCGCAGAGCCATTACTCCAGCCTTTAACATGCGGCTGTTGGAACAGTTCATCCCGGTGTTTAATGACCAAAACCGTGTCTTGGTGGAGAAGATGTCCAAGATGGTGGACCTCGGGATGTTTGACGTGTGGGACTTTGTGAGCCCTGCGACACTTGACATCATATGTCGTGAGTAGAGAATATCACAGTTCTATAATGTGGCTTGTAGTGTGAGAAACAACTGAATTGCATTCACCAAGCTAGAGAAGATGACATTCCTAAACTGACCTAATCAGTAATGTTTTGTAATACAGGTGTAATTGTTGTGTTATTAATTTGTAATTCATAATTTTCACAATTTCAGAGACAGCCATGGGAGTGGATGTCAAAGCTCAAGATGATCCCAATTCTGACTTCGCAAGAGCTTTGCCAAGGTTAGTCAAATTTATTCTCTAAGTTAGTGCTGTTCAGATATTTTGTCCAGTTTTATCAGGATGTTTATTCAAGACAAGATTTTTTGGTTGCTTAATTTTTTATGAAGGTATAAAATTATAACAAAAAACCCGCTCGAAAAACTTTGCTGCAGTTAAGGCTCAAGACTTGATACATTCTTGGCATGTCAAATTAGATTAGATTAAACAATATTTATACACTGCTGACACACCAGGAGTACCAATATTTTAGGGTAAATATTTAGTGAGGGATGAGAGTTAAAAGGATGATGCGAAGACAGCATTGTCACTAACTACGATCAGCTGTTGCTCTAGCAAGTATCAATTATTGAAAGCCCAACAATGATCAAAGACACCTCGGTCAATAATTCTGTAGTTTACACATGAACAATAAAAGACCAAAGAATTTTGTTCTAGAGCCTCTGAACTGGACTACATGCGGATTTACAAGATGTGGCTTCACCCAGACTTTATCTTCAACAGAGTGAGTTACGCTGAGGAGTTACGACATGTCTACAAACAGCTGCACGGCCTTCCTAACTCTGTGAGTTTGCACTACCATGTTCCATCACATTAAATATCAAATAAATCAAATCTTCAATTGCTTTTATGAAAACTTGTTTAAAAATGGACACTGGAATTGTTATTCCATCTATGTGGACCAGATGGTAGAGCTGTAGTGAATGTTTTCTTAAAAAAGAACATGTGTAGTTTAATAAGCCACTCGGAGTGCTAGTCTGAAATTATATTTTTTCTCTTAGTTTTTTTCATGTGATGGTTAATGTGACATAAAAGATCTTATAATTTAAGAAAAATGCATTAGAAATCTGGGATTGGCACTGCTTTTATCTGAAAGCATAGTAACATACTGTATCCAAGAGTGCTAACCGTCATTCAGAAAAGGGAAAGAGAGAAAAAGCTGGGTAGCGGAGTGGTTGGTGCTTACCTTACAATAGGTAGCTGGTTCGATTCTGTAAGTAGCTTTTTGATGGTTCAAAACCGTGCCCAACTGTGTTTGATGAAGGGAATTTTCATCAATTAATTGTTATACCTGAAAAAGGCTGATCTTAGTCAGTAAACAAATTTACAACAATTATCTACATTCTAAACTCACATTGAATTGGCTTATTTGAAAACATTCACCTAGGGGTGCATTGCTGTCTTGAGGTTGATAATATTTAATATTAATTATAAATGTGTAACAAAGTTTAAGCCCTATGCTCCAAAAGAAGAGCATATGATCTGTGGAGAACCTTTATGTTATGTCTAGGAAGAAAAAAGATTAAAAGTATTTTTTTCTTTTTCAGGTAATTCAACAGAAAAAGGAGGCTTTCCGCAAGAAGAAGGAAGAATCTATGAACAAACCAGAATGTGAACAAGTTGATACAGATGAAAACAAAAGTAATTATTGTTCTTGCTTCTAAAGCCGCAAATGAACGAGACAAAATTATGAAACTTCATTCCAAGCGGCATTTTTACTTATTTGTTATTTACTTATCTTGCAACTAATTCAGCTTAATGGTACAATCAACTTGCTGAATACTTACCTTTTTGTTTCAGAGTATGATACATATATTTACATAAAATATTTAAGTTATATCAAATACCTGTCACCAAAAAATTATTTCAGCCATTTAGGAATCAATTAGCGTCAAATAATAAAATGATTATACTTATATATTTTGCATTAAACTCATTCAGAAATATTTTTAGATGAGAAGAAATTGAGAGTTTTTCTTGACATTCTGCTGGAGCTGAAGGACAGTGGCACTAACTTCTCAGATGATGATTTACGGGACGAAGTCGTCACTATGATGATTGGAGTAAGTAACTGTGTAGTTAATCATTCTTTAGTTAAAGGATGTTGAAACTATTGGTCCTTGTTTCTGTTGGTGAGGGGGGGAAACAGCTGCCTTTATAAAAATAAACCGTTTCTCTCCTGTCATTTCAATACTTTATGGTTCGAAACTGGACCCACCTTTTCCTGATAATTGGGCTTTGAATAAATGATCCTTGCTATTAAAACAGCTGATCTTAGTCAGTAACAAAGCTACACAGGTCATCACACACCATTCTACACTCATCCTTCACTCATATTTCGGTTAAAATATGCACCTAGGTGGTCCCCATCTCAAACGATTGATTGGTAAATTCTTGACTAATTATAATCTAATTATATTGTATGTTTTACAGGGAAGTGAAACAAGTGGGCTGACAAACTGTTTCTGCTTGCTCATGTTGGCTATGCATCAGGACATTCAGGTATGGATTAAAAAATAAATATACTGATTATATTAATATCTATAGTTTGGCCGCTTAGATAGCGAACTGCGCGCTAATGCTAACCAATGCTAGAGGACGTTGCTGTCTAAGGGGCCGAACTATAGTACAGCTGGTTAGCCCAGTGATTATATAATGCTCATGTAGTAATTAGAATGTTATAGATTTGATCCTACGAAAAAGTCAGTTGCTCTGTTGATTATTCAAAACTAATGACCAAGGAAATCAGTAAAAATTCCATTACCATGTTAAAGCTAGAACCAATTTTAGAGTGAAAATGAATTTAGTTAAATCGTGCCACCAATAGTATGTGCTAATGCCAATTAATTACTGATTTCTGTCCTTTGCCAAAATCGTCTAACCAAGTAAAATTCAAAGGATGCTATAAAGTACTGTAAACTGGACCAAGCTGTCCTTAAAAAAAGGGATTTTTTTTCTAGCTGAAACAGCTCTCTTTGTTGGTTTCAGGCCCACCTAAAATAGTCAGACGGTGTTTATTTTTATTATTTATAGATTGTACAGTATGTAATAAACGAGAGGTATGTTTGCAGAAAAAAGTTTACGAGGAGGTCTACAACATCTTTGGAGACTCGGATCGAGGAGTTACAATGGAGGACTTGAACCAGATGACCTACATGGAGATGGTGATCAAGGAAACGTTACGAAGGTTTCCAGTGGGGCCTCTGTTCCTGAGGAAGGTCATCGAAGACATTGAAATCAGTGAGTGACTCTGAAACAATCCTTAAAACATACCTCTATTATCAGCATGTTGTAAAAAAATCTTTATTATCGTCATTCGTTAACTATACTCGTTTCACAAAATGTAGGTGGTTTGAGGGGAAGTTCCCCCACTACTAGTTTTGTTTAATATATACGTAGCAGCTGATTGATGTTTTGGTAGATCTCAGCTGTTGATTTATCGTTTTGAAGGTAGGTTCAAGTGGAGGGGATAGATTTCTTCCCTTAAATTTTGTGAACAGAATATAGTTACTTGATTGGTGAACATAAATACAGAATCGGTTTGAGTGTAAATGTCAGACGATTAGGTACATCAGCAATCACATGAGTAGGATTTTCTTTCCAAAATCTTGTATTTAAGTGTTCCCAGCTTTACTCCTATGATTCTTTAATATCTGACTCCAGGCAAAAATTGTGAGTGCACCCAGTTAATAACAGTAATGGCTGAGATCTTAAGTTACTTAAAAATGACTCCTATACTTGAGCATACATTAAGTATCACAATCTAATTAATGGACCACATTTACCTATCACAGAAAAGTAAGGGGCACAGGGCCTTCCTCCACCATGAGCGTTGTAGTACAAGAGGACAGAGGGGTGGTGTTGGACTTTTCCCTAGACACTAGCACTAGTGCTAGACACCACTTAAGTGTACTATTGAATGTTTAGCCTGTATCTTATTACCAGACCTGGAGAGGTTTATAACTGTCGATTGTTTCTCTTTTCAGCCAACTACACACTGCCACAAGGTTGTAGCATAGTGATCGCCCCACTCTCCACCCACATGAACACAGCTTTGTACCCGGACCCGGAAAAGTTTGACCCAGAAAGGTTTACGGCAGAGGCAGTTGCTGCGAGACATCGCTACGCCTACATTCCCTTCAGTGGGGGTCCACGGGGCTGCATTGGTAAGATACACTTTTGCTTCGTAGATTGATCTAAACTACGAATCCTCAATTCATAAACTACAATATTAAGTTAAAATATTCAGGAATGGTTTTTGTCTTGTGCACCCAAACACACTGGTTGACAATAGTTAGTTTGTTATCTTAGCACTTTTTGAGAATTCTTTGTTAAATTTCTCTACACTTCCCAAAAGGTCTGAATTTATAGAAGTATGAATAAAATAATAACCAATTCTACATGCTCTTATAAATTACTAAAAACTTTAATGGCCGAAGTTTCACGCTAAATTTTATTGAAGGATAAAATATTGTTTAAAAAGTAAATTTTGATTGTTTTGCATTTCCAGGATCAAAATACGCAATGCTGTCCATGAAAACTACAATATCTGCCATTCTAAGAAGCTACAAACTCTTCACAGATATTAAAATGGAAGACATCAAATTAAAGATAGATTTGCTGATGAGAAGTGTGAATGGATTCCCGATTCGACTTGAACGTCGTAAATCAGAGTTTACGTGATCAACATTGTAACTGTTACAATGTTAAATTTGTAAATACTTCCAAGACTTTCTGGTAGAGCATCAAATTAATTTATTTTTACATGTTTCCAGAGTATATCATCCATTGTGACATTGTATGTGATTTTCTATCATTACGGTTGACCAAGTCTCTAGGTTAGATAATTTTGATTGTAACAATTAGTATTATTTTTAGTATTTTGATGATGTGATAGACGTTGCATGATGTGTATGTTATTTTTATACTGTACATATTTTTCTAGTTGCTTTATGTTGTTGATTTAGTAATTTTTATTATTATTTATGATGTGAAAATAATTATTTGCAAAAAGATGGTTTAATGGTGTTGGATGATTTTTTTCACTATCTGAATTTACAGATTTGTATGTAGTACAGAATATTACAATAAAAGTTTTATTTATTGATAAGATTAAGTCAGCCGTCTCAGTAACAGAGTATTGTAACTACAGTGTGTACTTCACAACTGTTACTAAACACATAATTTAACCATGTTAAATCTAATTATTAGGTAATTTATGATTGATATGTATTATACATTCTAAGACTCAAAATGAAATAAATTAAATTATGTAATTCACCTCTTTGTCTTTGATTTCTACAAAACCACATTGCAAATTTATTGCCTGAAGTATGTTAACAAGGATTGGTGGTGGTGTGTTACTACCAATGATCATTTAAAACCCATCTTGTGATAGTAATAGTAACTCATGTTCACAAAAAGTAAAAAATTAGCTAGGTTTTTGTCTTGTGCACCCAAACACACTGGTTGACAATAGTTAGTTTGTTACAAATTTAACCGAAATATATTACAAAAGTCCTATGACTGAAAAGAAGGTTTGTTTTCAAACTACTGTTATTCGTTTTTGATGGAAAAACATCTTTACTTTCATCTTATCCATTATTAATTAGCAAAGGATGTATCATATTTGAAGATTTTTTCTGGAGATGATACTTGGAAAAACTTCAGTAAAACATCCTATGTTTTGCTTGTGCATCCGCAGCCTAGACTCATAGTCAAACAAAAGACAAATAACGTCATTTAGCCTACATGTTCATTTATAAAGCTTGTTAATTTTATTTAATTTTTAATTTTAAAATTTACTGCAATTTTTCACTATGAAAAGTCCCAACAAATAAGTGATCCTGTTAAGCTGAACAAAGGAACTTAGTTTGTTACATGCAATGACAGCTGATCCACGGCCACCATTAACTCCAGGCCGCAGCCTGGTAGAATTGGCAACGTCTCAAGTACTGTTGTTTAGCGCCAGACGTCCCATAAGATAACATGACAGACATTTACAACACAGAACATTTAACATGACAGAAGTTTTATGAACATGAATTTATCAAAAGATTGAAAATCAAACATATAAAATTGAAAACCAAAACGATATAAATTGAAAATCTATTTCTGTACATTTAAAAAGTAGTCAATATTTTCACAGCCCAGTAACCAAGCTTATGTATTAAAAAAAAACAACACAAATGCCATTAACTGCCTCCAAACAGCACAACAACACAGCTGTTACAACACTACTTGCGACGTTGCCACTTCAAAGGCTGCGGTCTGGAGTTAAAGGTCGCTGATCACTAATTGTTTGATTAGAATTTAATTAATGACATTCGTGGATCTCATCTATAATACGCTATTTTTAGTGATAATGGGATATTAATTCAAGAGAATGATAAAACAACATTTATTCAAAAGTTTTACTTCACCCTTGTACATCCAGTTTCTGTGATAGCTAGTGATTTGCGGGTACAATGCTTTACAAAGTAGTTTGTTTACTAACTGGTAAAATATAAAAAGAAAGGTTCATCCATATGACAAGAAAATCTTATATCTTTCGAATAAGCTAGTTAAACATCATACTTTCAATTATCATTGTATAAATAAGTGTACTAATTATTACAGAGGTTAGTTAGGAAGGTAACTATTATGATTATACTGTAATTAACATGATTGTGCGCAAATAAAAATAATAATTGTGCCTTGAAATCCTAAAATAATTGTTATTCAAATAAATACAATAGGTATGCTACTTACTTAGATGTATTACCATTGACTAACCAACACAAGTAGACTTCTCATCCCATTGTAAATTTTGAAGCACGTTTTTCAGGTCTAGTTCATGTACGGTGTCACTGGGCACTAGTGTCAACAAAATTTTGTTTATATTATTTTAGGGTTAATTTCTTGATTTGTGCTTCACTGTTTGGTTATATAAAAAGGGGAAAATTCATTGTTTATGATTAGATCGTATTATTTGGTTAAACGAGGTTTTAAATTACTGTAATAACGGGAAACAAATAGTAAACAAAACACAACCTCTACATAAACCGTACAGAACTAACGATTAAATTGTCTTCAGCTGTTCCATAAGGATGAGAAATCTACTAAGGAAGTATGTTTAATCTATGGTATTACCTTATACTGTTTAGTTATCACCTAAAATAACGACAATAAAATAAATAACAATCAATGCAAAATAATTGGATGTGATTATAAACAGAGATATCATAAAATTTATTTAAATATAAACTGTTAAAATAAAACATACATAGAGAACTTTGTTAAAAGTTAAAATATTTAAAACAGTTTGAGAGTTCAAAACAGTTAAAAAATATATTAAGTTAAAATATTCAGGAATGATTGTTTTAGTTTTAAAACGTAACTTAAATACAACAAATTACAACCATAACCATTAGACTCGAACACAAACGGTAAAATCATTACAAAACAATATAGATTCAATAGTTCTAAATTTATGTATATTAAAAATACTTCTTTGGTAGTAACAGATCAGATCTATTGTATCAGTAAAAAATGCCAAAGGCCTATTAATAAATACTTAATGCATAAATGTCTAAAATACAAGTTCAGTTCCTTAAATACTAACTTATACTAACAACAAAAATAGATTCTTGAAATTCCTAGATCTGTTATGAATGGTAGCAATAGCAAGTTCCTTACAATGTGTATAAAATATTTTGAGTTTTTTATAAATAATGTTTTACAACTAAAACCATTCTCTCAAGGCTCCCCTCTACTTAATCTGTCATACTTATGACACCATTTTAATTCAAAATTATTAATTTATAGTAAAAATTCAATGGCATAACTTGGACAAGTGAGTAAAATATTCCTATGGACTGATTTCTATGTGAGTATCTGGGTTAATCATAACACAAAATATGTTAAAACCATGGTCTGCATGAATTCTGAACTGTTTTTTTTACAGTACACAAATATATATATATATATTTGTTTAATAAATTGGTTAGCCTACATAATAATGCAGTGTGACGTAAAATATAGTTCATCACATGGTTATACAGTAATTTCAGCCCTCATTTATTTTCTGTCACCTTAAGAATCACTTGAATACCCGATTTAGCGGAGAGCGTATTCGAGGATCTATCCATCTATATACACAATAAGGGTTTACTCGCTTACATCTCCTTTTAAGCTGTCCTACTTAACCAATTTTTACGATTGAGGTGGCATTGTATAACTTAAGGTCTAGCGAAATGACAAATGACAACTAAAAACATCATTTCCTTTAAGGCTTACCTCTTATTTTTTTATTTTTTTTAGAGAAAATTTAGAGAGAATTTTTTTTAAAGATTCAGCGATGCTGACTAACTTTTTTTAACGGTTCGGATGTGAATTTAAATGTGAACAGCTGATCATTCAGTTGAATGTTTAACCACAGTCAGATATTAAACAAGAGACCTAACAGCATTTGAAAATGGATTAGGTTCTTCTTTATAACATAACTGTAACCTGATAGAGACATCACTTTTAAATTTCATATTGTAGATCTAAAAGCAACAATTTACTTTATTGTAAATTAATTGGTTTATTCACCAGATTGGTTTATTCATAACCGTCTCAAAAAAACATAATCTTTGAAAGTAAAAGGGTATTACATTTTTTCCTTTGCCTCGGAATAGAAACTTATTAAAATGCGCAATTAGCAAACGGGTCCCCTCGTCATCACTATTCAGGCCTTATCACTACTTATCTTAATGACTAGGTTATTTGAGCTCGTAGCAAAAGTCGTAGTTGGGAGGGTCGTCAGGTATTGGAGGTGGCTCTTGTGGAATATCGACCCCTTCAGCGTCCAACAGTCGCAGTTTGATCTCCATAGATAAGAGGATCCCAAGGTCGTTCTCCGTCTCCTTACTTGTCATCTTGTTGCCTAACACATTGCCAAATGTTCATTTTTCTTTCGTTTCGGGAATAGCAAATATTTGTTTACTTGGATGTGTGCAAAAATACTTTGACAATGAACGGAAAAACAGTGGCAGCGCAAAATTCCTTGGTTTGGAACTGGATATTAATATTTCTTGGGGTAATTGTATTGATAATATTATTAGTACATTAAATTCCGCCCGTTATCAAATGCTAATACTACGTAATTATATTGACCTTAAAACTAGAATTGAACTATGGGATTGAGTTCTGGGGATTATCATGTGATTCAGTTAAAGTTATTAGTAATATTGACTCTTTCCGTAAGATTACAGACCAATTAAATGAACTCCTTTTCCTTTAGTGAAACAGGCTTTAACATGATCAAAGCTCATGAACAAGAAACAATTGTAAGACTCCTAAAAAACTTTTTGGGCAACCTTAAGCCTATGAAAGGATAGAAAATATTGTATTCAAGAAATTCATCAACGTTTTTTAAGGTACACAATCGTCATATGCATAATTATGTTCATCCTCCCTTCATATAACTAAGATTTTAATAACTTCACTCTATCTATCGCAGTTAGCTGAATTTATTTAAAACCTCAAGAGTAACCGTCGGTTTCGACGGGTTTCACCTAGTTTATAATAATTTGACAATGTTACCTGTTTTGTAGCTATGCTATGTATAAATGTTTTGTGACAATAATGATTGATTTAATTTGAAACACAAACACCTATCCACACTACACGAGATTTGGCAAGTCGCTGCTCGGTGCTTGGCGAATGACGCATGTCTGGAGCCACCTTCAACCAATATTCAAAGACTTAGGTTTATAATAATTTTACCTGCCTTGAACTCTCTGTGTATGGTCAAGTCTGTATGACACATATTTATGAGATTTTAAACATTTGTTTGTGTGTTTTTTGTCATAGGCGTTTTTAAGGTTTTTGTAAGAGAACGGTCCGAACCTGGTTCTGGGCGATATGACCATGATAGTAATATTAAGTGTGTTGAAGCTGTACTTCTAGATTTTAGTGCTTTATAGCTTGAGAAGAAATGTTTTAACTTACCTAACAGAGCGTTGATTCCGTCAGTCCAATAGTCAAACACTTCTTCATCTGGGGCTACAAAATCCAGAGAAGTGACATCCACAGAGTCCAAGGTTAGTGAGAATGCTAGATGATAAGTGGTCTTCCGGCCTCTGTAACAGAACACACAGTTAAAAAGGTTACTTTTGAATAAGGAGTCCTATGAAAATACTTTTTGGACTGAGCTCTCTCTAAAAACTTAAGCAGAATTCCAAGCTTTATAATGATAGCCTAATGGAAATTCTTCTGTATACAAGACCTTCAAGAAAATGTTATTTATGCAATAGAATTAAAACTACTAGCATCAAACCAGCCAAGATGTTGTGTAAGTGTCAGGAAGTAATGATAAAGCAAGATTTTCAAAACAACAAGATTTACAAAAAAATTTTTTTGTATAAAATACCCTAATCAAACTTGGATCAAATGATCATTCTAAAACATTGGATTCGTTAACAGGAAAGACTATATTTTCAGAAATATCACACAAAATTATATACTTGTTTATAATATTAGTACCGTATGTAAGATATATAGTACAAAATTTTAATGTTTTGTAGGATATATTTTTTTGTAAAATTATATTTGAAATACCCAGATTTTTATACTCCAACATATCTACTCTAAAGGGTGACTGAAAAGCAGGACATGCATTACTCATCTGTTTTTGTGTCAATTATAACTTTTAGGCCTATTGCATTAAAATGTTCGTAAACTCTTGCCATTTAAGAAATACACTATTGTGAAACATAGTATGTTACACATGTCAGATGCTCTTTACTTTTAGAAAACAATGTCAAACAGTCTATTAAGGGGTCACAAACCATTTCTTAAATTCTTCCATTACACGACCTAGCATTTCAAGGCCACCATTAATTGTCTTCTTCCTGGTTAATTGCATCCTTAAGACCCATACGAGGCTTACCGTTCAATGCTCCATGGATAATTAAATGTAATTAAATAAATGTATACATCAATTTTGATATACATCAAATTTTGATACAACCCCTTCTCCCTCGCGACAATAACTGTCGCCTACATAATATAACGGTTCCTGTCGGTCACTCTGTACTTTTGGGGGAAAAATTGGGAAGATAACCCTCAAATTCTTTGTAAATATTTGTGATTTTAAATTCCCTGAAATGTTACACCATTAACTGTCTAGCTGCTTTAAACAAAATGCGTTTTCTTATAGGCTACTTATTGGAAAATACCCATGGATAGATTAAACGTAGGCCTATAGTAAGTTAATTACAACTGGGAGGTACTTGCGGCTAGAAACTTCCCATTTAATAAGACACTAAAACGATACTCACATAAAACATTCACAAGTTATCAAGAAGTATACTAACCTGACATCCTTCATGTGAGGGCACTCTTTGCCTGTGACCAGAGCCTTGATGTCAACCACTGCCAGTTTGTTGGGCAACTCCTCCAGTGAAGGTTGAGACTTCTCATCACAGTCGCCGTAGTGAAACACCTTGTGGTTTGGTGACAGTCGCACATACCAGAACTTGTCTTTTATCCTCTAAAACACAAAATGTATTATACTAACGGTGAACCATGTCGCACAAGGTCTAGTCAGGCCTGTGACAAATAAATTAGTTCAAAACCCCGATTTCAATTTTGAATCAGTGTAGAAGACTATGACAATTCATAATATTTGTTTGGTACTGCGGTGCTAAAACATATCTGTATTTATTGTAAAATAAAATTTATCGTAATGTGTTTTCCTTGATTTATAATTTAGTTCAGCTTTTTAAGAAGAAACAAAAAAGTTAAGTTGTTGGATTGTCAACTTAGACATACTCAAAGGAGGCAAATTGTGTGATGCTAACGTTATTGTAAAGTACAAGGCATGTTTGTAGATTATGGTTTCCAACACGCTACCATTGTAGCTAATTCTCCTTCTAGCTAGAAGGAGACTAACACCGTCCTCTTACTTCATTCATTACGATTCTAGCCGATTACCGCCCCTATGCGACGATTTGTCTCAATATGACAGCCAAAAACGATGTGAAGGAATTTGATGCTCCCCTCTAATATATATACCGCATTCTGTGATCAGGTTTCTGTGGAAAGAGGGTCCTCTAGTGCTTCCAGTAAATTAGCACATCTTTACTCTAAGACTTTAACCTACCTGCCCTCTATTGGAGTACTTGGTAAACCTCGTTCCCTCCACCAGGAAGCCGAGACGCTGTTGTTGTATCAGTTCCATAATCTCTGGCGTGATCATCTCCTTGAGCTGCGTGACAGGTCGCGCATGACTCTCCCACTCCTCGCGCGACGTTCGTTCTTGCTGCCACAGGTTGGTGATCTCTGCGTACGTCAGCAGCTGTAGCCGTGCTTTGAACATGGAAAGTTCCACGGGCTGAGCGGCCAACGCTCTCGTGATCTGCTCTTTTACCACGCTGAAAACCTGGGCATTTTATGATCAAAAGTTAGTTTATATTACCGTTATTAATTTACATCTGGTACAACTAGGTTGTTTACCATTAGAACATTTTGTGCTGCTTTTGGAAGGTTAATGGATGACATAAAGTCCAAGATTGTATTTGAACTTTGAAGGTATCAATAACTCCTTTTAAGACTGAATATAAAGTGTTTTAGTTTGTAACATTTGTTTAACCCGTAATTTGTAATTTGTTCACTCAGCAAACATATGAAGAAAAAAAACTTAAATATGTTGTCAATGTTAGTTATTTATAAATTTTTAGTCAAAATTGAATATTAATGTTTTCAGTTTAGTACTTTCACTTTATAATGAAATAGAAAATGAATGATTAAGGAGTAAGCACATCTTAGGCAAACATGTTTGCTTGCTCTAGATCTTTTAAAATTCAGCTAAAACTTGGGTAGGCTACATTAGCTATGGAATTCGCATAAGAGATTCATTCAGTGCTTTGGCTCACTACACTTTCATTTTCAGATTTTAATGAGGTCTACATATTATTTAATTAACTTTAACACGTTGACTGCGCGTGCCGACTTTAGTCGGCGTCGCCAGCGCTCCCAGGTGGCGCGCGCCGACTACAGTAGGCACCAGACCAACAGTAATATATTGAGTCATTGTGAGCTTAGCCTCAGACGGAGACGTTATAATCGTTGCCAGCCTGCCAGCTTAGAATGCGAGCTTTACTTTGGTGTAGGTTGGTACTAAAATTTCCCGTAAAATCCCGTCTGGCAATGCTTTTGTCCCGGTTTCGGGGATTTTTTCTCTTCAACCCACATTACAAAGACACTGGATAAGGATCCATGCAGTGCTGCTACCTTTGGGTGTTTCAGTGAACTACATCCACTCTCGGGGTAACGCAGCACAGTCACCACTGCTCTTTTGTGATTCGTCAGACTGAAATATTTGAATGCCAATTGCGTTCGCTGATTCGGTTGCGCGCCGGGGCTTCGCCCGCCACTGGGGAGCGCCTGTAAAGTCGGCGCGCGCAGTCAACGTGTTAAAAAAAATGGGCTAAGTAGCATCGTTCTCAAACCTTGATAAAGTCCTCAGTAGTAGCCCTCATCTCTTTCCACGTCTTGTTCAGTAGCACTATGCAGATGCAGAAGAACTCCTCAAAGGGGCGATCGTGGGTGAAGAACATCGGATGATAATTCTGTCCTTGTTCACTTGGAGGCTCCCCTATGTGCAGGATCTCACAGAGCAGCTTCACCAACTCAATGCTCGTCCGGCCAAACGGGCACTCATGCTCATCCGCCCGACAAGAGTTCTCTAACACTACCTGAGACACGGATAAGATTACATAAAATAATGACAAAAACAAGATTAAATTACAAGTATGATGAATCTATGTTCTTTGTAGTGACTGTCACAAGTTCTGACATAGACTAACCAACACAACGAGTATGTTTTATCTATGGTTCTACTTAGGACAAACGGGAAGGCCATTTAGGACTCATTTTAAATACCATTCCAGGAATTTTGGCTGTACAAAAATCAAGTAATGATGAGTATCTCAATCAGTCTGGACACGACTACAAATCTTTAGACGAAAATTTGCAACTTATCCAAAAGTGGGGTTAAGTGGTGTCCACAGTAAAAAATATGATATATACGTGGTGATAGAAACTACCCAGACATTGTACCAAATGATAAAATCAATAGTCAAGCCAACTCTATTGGATACAGCTCTTCAATTGGAAAGGAAACATCAGGGATCAGAGCTCTCAAGTGGGAATTCCAACCCCCAGTCATTTGCCGTGAAATAAAACAAAATTAGCAATCATAAACTCAACACTTTTCACCTTCATCAATTCTCGTTATTCGTCCACTAACCTTGGTGTAACTCTCTGTGTGGCTGCGGGCAAAGTATATCATACAATCCAGTGCCAGCATGCCAGGCGGGGCCTCGGTAAAGTCCAGCGCTGGGTTGATATCACACTTGAAGCCCAGTTTCTTGTAATCCTTAGCAAAACCTCCGTGTTGCCGTCGAGCGCCCCCGTCTGTTGCATTGGCCCCGTCAGAGTCAAACGCTATGCGACGTAGCTCCTTGATTTTGTCATGAGCGTCTTGGTCCTGAGAGGAAAGTTGTTAGAACATGTAAGCAATTGATTAAAACACTTAAGTTTGTTGAAAATGCCTGCCTTTTCTATTTATTTGTAATAGTCATACAGATGATATGAATGTTGTTTTTACTATCAGCTGTCTGTTTCGTTGTCCAATATTGTTCCTTGTCATGAAAACATTAATGAGAAATACATTTGATTATTTTATAGTTTAAATTCGTTTTTCGTCGTAGTTTTTGCTTAGATTATCCCTAAACACCTCCACTTGGGAGAATAATTCAAGAGGTTATGGTCGCCAGCATCGTTTTATGTACATAACAGTGTTGGGAAATCTAGTCTACTACGTACACGGTAAGAACAATTTATTCTGACGTAATTTTCTGTCTCAAGAGTATTATTTCTTTGGTATATCTTTCGATCGAGTTCGTCCAGCTCTACAAATGGAATACGTGAAAGGTATAAAACCATTGAAAGGAGCAGAAGATTGGCCGACGTGGAAAGATCGAGTGTTGGACGTTCTAGAGTTGTTTGACGCGGTTGATATCGTCGAGGGAAAGAGAGAAACGCCTACCCTCTCTGAGCCTCCGACTAAAGCCGAAAAGGAAGAACTTCAGAAATTCAACAAATCCACGACTCAGGCAAAAATAGTTATTTCTCAGTGCGTTAGTGATGATCTACATCAACGTATTTCCGGAAGATTATCAGCTAAGGAAGCGTGGGACATTTTGATCAAGCAGTTCGATAACAAGGCAGAAGATCAGTTGTTTCGTCAGTGTTTGGATTTCTTCAATATGGAATGGGATGATACCGAGGATGCCCCGACCGTGCTTTCAAGATTGAAGAATCAAAACCGCGAATTTGCAGTTGGCCTCAAAACGCGTAACATCCAAACAGTCGAAGATTTTCTTGAGCTCCTGTTTGTCTCAAAAGTGTTACATATTTTGCCGAAGCGTTTTGAATCGTTCAAGTCTAGCTACTTACTTATGAAGGCAAACGAGAGCAAGAAACTTGAAGATGTTTCATCTGCATTGATCCTTCATGAGCGTAATGTTGCTCCTACTTCAAAAGCTGGTGACATTCTTAGTGCCACAAACAGCGGTGGTCAGAAGAATAGGAAACCAAAAGGTGACACTTTGTGCAAATACTGTTCGGGGAAAGGTCATTGGATTCGCCAGTGTTCTAAATGGAAAGCTGACGGCAAGCCTGCGTATCCAGCTCGAGCTAACGGTATTAGCACTAGTTCAAAAACAAGTGACACTGATAAGAAGAGAACGAAGGGCTCTCAAGTTAACGTGACCGACAACCGAAGTGCGCTGATTTCCATCAGCAGTGACATGAATATCGTGACCACGAACGACCAGTGGTGGATCGACAATGGCGCTACGCGGCACATTACGTCAAATCTGAGTTGGTTCACGGAGTACAAACCTTTTCCTGCAAACTCGAACGCAACAGTAAAGGCGGCGGGAAAGGAAGTTATAAAAGCTCTTGGCAGTGGAGTCGTTGAAGTAGCAAACTATGAAAATGGAAAACTGGAAACGTTCACACTCAACGATGTCTGGTATGTTCCTGACGTTTCTCGGAACTTAGTGTCCATTCTCGCAGCTCATGATCGAAACCCTAATAGCAGGTTTGAATCGACTAATACCGAGTGTCGGTTCACTATTAACGAAAAAACTGTATTCAAAGGTACTCGAAACTGTGGTGGAACTTTGTATCGTGCCTCATTTCACACAGTTCAGCCATCTGAGGTTTGCGCTAATGCAGCAGAAGACAATCAAATTCTGCAGTTATATCATGAGCGCTGGGGTCACATGGATAAACGTTACGTCCGATCGAAGCTCGAATCCGAAATGGGTATCAAAGTGCCAGCCAACTACGAGATCTGCGAACCGTGTCAGTTCGGAAAGGCACACCGTCTACCATTTGGAACACGAGAACGCCCCTCAGCCCCCGGTGAGTTGTTATCCGGTGATGTTTGCGGCCCGTTTGACCCATCCTTCGGAGGTCACCGATACTTGATCGTCATAAAAGACCACTTTTCAAGGTACCGATACTGTTTTGTCGCAAGGGAAAAATCTGCTGTGAAGGAAGCGTTGCGTGAAGTGTTGTCTAAAGCACGCACAATTGGTCATCACGTCAAAGAGTTTCTCAGTGACAACGGTGGTGAGTTTGACAACGCTGAAGTTCGTCAAATCCTCAGAGAATATGGTGTTAACCAACGTCTGACAGCGCCGTATACACCCGAGCAAAATGGTGCTGTAGAGAGAGAGAACAGAACAATCGTTGAAATGGCCCGTACCTTCAAGTATGCCAATCCAAATGTGACATTTCCTGCAGCGATCTGGGCTGAACTTGTCATCACTGCTGGCTACGTTTTGAATCGTGTGGGAAAGTCAGCAGTTGCCAACAAATCACCTTTTGAGCTCTGGTTTGGTCAAAAGCCGAGGATCAAACATCTGCGAGTGGTCAGCTCAAAGTGCTACGTCCATGTTCCTGTGCAGAAGAGGCGGAAAATGGACAAGAAAGCTGTGGTTGGTTACCTGGTTGGATACGATGGCGATGAACGATATCGAATCTACGTCCCAGAGAGAAGAGATATCGTAGTCTCTCGTGATGTCGTTTTTCAAGAAATCGTTGGAGACTGTGACAAGAAAGTTGAGTGGCCCATCAAGATTGAGAAAACCAATGACGTCGAAGAAGATTGGCAAGAAGTTGAAGAGACTATTGACGAGCCTAGTTCTCCAGTGAAGGGTAATGATGAGCCTATACCGACTGAGGACACGTCAAGTAGTAGTGATAGTGAAGATGCAGAGTTATCCAACGATCCTGCAACTCGGCACTCGACTCGGGAAAGAAGGCAACCCGAGTGGCTAAACGATTACGTCTCGTCTGACGTCTAACTTTGCCGAAGTTCTTCTTGTTGACGATGAACCTAAGTCGTACACTGAAGCCATCAGTTCAGAAGATAGTGCTGAATGGAAAACAGCAATGGACAAAGAAATGGGGTCCATGCATAAACACGGTGCATGGGAATTGACCGAACTCCCTCCGGGAAAGAAGACTATCAACAACAAGTGGGTCTACCGAATAAAGCGCAATCCTGATGGGAGTGTTGACAAATATCGAGCGAGATTGGTCATCAAAGGATGTGCGCAAAGACCTGGTATTGATTATGCCGAAACCTTCAGCCCGGTTGCTCGTCTGGAGGTCGTTCGATCAATATTGTCCATCGCAGCTGTTGAGAAGATGGTTCTACGGCAGTTTGACGTCTCAACTGCGTTCTTGTACGGAGACGTTGAAGAAGAGATTTTTATGAAGCAGCCTGGAGGATATTCAGATGGGACAAATCGTGTTTGTTGTCTCAAACGCAGCTTATACGGCCTGAAACAGGCACCTCGATGCTGGAATAAACGGTTTGACGACTTCATGAAAGGCTTAGGATTTCGACAGAGCCGTGAAGATCCCTGCGTCTATATTTGTCCTACCCCTGCTGGAAAAATCATCGTTACACTCTATGTTAATGACGGATTAGTCGCAGCGACTAGTCAGACTGAAATTGACTTATTTATTGGGCAACTTCTTTCACAATTTGAAATTGTTGCTAAAGAAGTGTCATACTTTCTCGGACTCGAAATTTCTCAAAGTGATGGTGATATATTGGTATGCCAATCAGCGTATATCAAGAAGATCATTTCTCGATTTAACATGGAAGGATGCAAGCCAGTACTTACTCCCATAGAGAAGCTCACTGCTCAAACACCAGGGAAAGCCTCCGATTTTCCATACCGATCGGCAGTTGGAGCCCTACTTTATGTTGCTCGTGGTACTCGCTTTGACATTGCATTTAGTGTAAGTGTTCTATCACGTCACTTAGAAAATCCTACAAAAGATGATGTCACAAGAGCAAAGCGTGTTATACGCTATTTGACTGGCACTGTGGACCAGAAGCTAGTGTACCAATCCAAACCTAAAACACGTCTACTGGAATGCTATAGTGACGCGGACTTTGCTGGTTGTCCAACTACAATGCGTTCAACAAGTGGAGTTATAATTAAATACGCGGGTGCAGCTATAACTTGGCTTAGTCGTCGTCAGGAGTTAGTTGCGGACTCAACTTGTGAAGCTGAAATCATTGCAGCTAATCTTGGTTCAAAAGAAACAATCTGGATTGCTCGTTTGTTCAAAGAACTTATAGGTTTGTCTGCTGTTCCTATCCTGAAAGTTGACAACGAATCAGCAAGAAAACTCTGTGAAAACCCCGAGTTTCACTTTCGTACAAAACATATTCAGCGGAAGTACCTGTTCATTCGAGACAGGATAAATATAGGTATGCTGACTGTAAAGCACATCGGTTCAGAATATCAACTAGCAGATATACTGACGAAGCCTATACCTCGACCAAGACTTCAAGTTCTGCGAGAAAATCTTGGACTATGCAAATAAGGGAAAGTGTTGAAAATGCCTGCCATTTCTATTTATTTGTAATAGTCATACAGATGATATGAATGTTGTTTTTACTATCAGCTGTCTGTTTCGTTGTCCAATATTGTTCCTTGTCATGAAAACATTAATGAGAAATACATTTGATTATTTTATAGTTTAAATTCGTTTTTCGTCGTAGTTTTTGCTTAGATTATCCCTAAACACCTCCACTTGGGAGAATAATTCAAGAAAGTTTACTTTGTCAAAAGATATTTGGTTTGAGAGCTTACTGAATGTAATCAAGGAGAAAATAAGAAAGCCCTCTCATTGAGATTAATAAACTTCTTTTGTAACTTAACCACAACTTTACCTGAGGGTCCATTTTTGTATTCATCCTTTGCTCTAAGAGCCCCAAAGACAATGTTTGAAGGACATACAGCTGGTGAGCCATTTCTGTTCCAACCTGAAACCGTTACGAATTATTTGTAAATATATGATACTATGTATTGAAATTTTAATACTGTAAAGTTAAAAAGCCAAGTTTGTTGCGTATGTAAATAAATTTACCAGATCGTTGAAAATAACTCTAAGAAATGAAATTGTTGAGTCAATTTAATCAACTGAACTCGGAGACTTGTAGGACAGTTGTTTAGGTTGATTAATGGATTAGTGACTAAATTTTCTCAAGTCACAAATAGTAAATATTGCTGTTCCTGCACCTTTAGGACTTTGGATTACTGAGTGCCACCTAAAAAAATTGTGTTAGCATGAAGATATGTTAGCTGTGTAAGATGTGTTAGCCCTCAAATCTGAAAGTCTTATTCTGTGTAAAAAGCCTTTTTACAGATGCCATTTTATTGAATAGGCTATACCAGACTATTTAATGACAAAATACAGTTAAATCCCATCAGACAACGCGAATGCAGATACAGTAAAATGCCACCAAACACTTAAAACATTGGAAATGAAGATGAACCAACCAACAGAATAAACAGTGCAATCCCACAATAATTGAAATGAAAATGAAGGAAGTGCAATCCCGACAGGCAACACCAATGAAGATCAACAATTCATCCCACAAGATGAGGGAAATGACAGTTTAATCCTGCAAGATTATGAAAATAAACAGATGTTGATTTTTAAGATTTAGAGAAGAACCTAAGTAATTTCATGTCTTTTTAGTTCTTTGTTTGATATCATGAAGTCCCAAAGAATGACATCTTAGTTATAATTTAAGAACTGTCTTTTTAACTATAGCAGGTGTACTCGGACAAGCCAAAATTTCTGTCCAAGCGCAAAAACAGAAGAGCCAAAACTTGCAATCCCGGCCCAGATCGGATAGCTACTATTTTGTATATCAGCTTTTATGTACACTTCACACCAGAACAGTCCGGATTAACCAGGAATCTGAATCCAAATACCTATTTTACCAGTCTGTGTCTATCAGTGTGGAGTGCAGTTGGTACTCCTACTCTCTTGTTGAAAGTAGTTTAGTGGGTAATTTGGTTGTGTTATATTATGTAGGTACGGTAAGTAAAATATTGACATCGAGCACTAACTTAAATTAGTTTGGTCAATTATTAAATTACAGTTGAACCTCGTTTGTACGAACCTCGATAAAACGAATTCCTCGATAAGACAAATTTTGTTAATCCCCTTGACACTTTCATATAGGTCAATGCTAAAAACACCTCTATACAACGTAGTAATTAAGTAAAAAAACCTCCATAAGAGGTTGTTTGTGACATGGGCTAGGACTGATTAACCTCTATACAACGAATATTCTTAGCACAAAACCTCTACAAGACGAACGCGACCTCTATAAGACGAATTTATCATAATCTTAACCTCCATAGTACGTAGTTTTCAAAACAAACAGAAGCTTGTCTCAACATGAAACCCTCACCCATCCCTCCTCCTTCCTCAGTCATTGTTTGGAGAAACCTTGGAGCGAGGAGAAACCTCTATAAGAAGAATAACAGTAGCATTAAACCTCGATAAAACGACCCTCTTTATTAAGAATACCTCTATAGTACGAATTTTTCCCGTACCCCTTGAAATCGTATTATAGAGGTTCAACTGTAGTTCGGTTTTGGGCCATTGTCTTTATGTTTTGCATACGGTATCTTAATTTTCTTTTGATAACAGAAAGGTGTGTTCAAAGTTAAACTCATTAAAACTAGATTATGGACATTCTACAGAAGTTTAAACTTTATCTCTTTCACCCTGACACTGACTAATAACTTTTGAAAAACACCATCAATCAGCCAACGTATGGATCCAAACGACTTTGTCACAGGTCACAGGAGTACCGGTACTTCTTTTTTCAGATACAGCATGTAAAAGCATAGGTAGGCCTAGTCACTTTTCTTATATTCATTTCAGTTGCAATTGGCAAATAAACCGATAATTCACAAAATCTAATCCTGGAAAGCCCAGTTTGAGGCTGCTAATGTGGACGCCCCTTCCGGAACAGCCCAGATGAAAATGTTGACCCGTACCTGGATTGTACTGGGGTGAAAATTTAATCAAGTATGTTAGGTTTAAGCAATGCCCATCAATCAAACCCGTAAACCCAAAGGACTAAGAACCCACAAAGAGTGATGACACCAAAAATTGACAGTGCGAATGGTTATCAATAACACTGGCAAAAATGTTTTACTTACACCTTGATCCACACAAGTCCACTTTTGACTTTCGGGAACAAATGACACAAAACCAGCAACAGTTGGCTACAGAAAAATTGTTTGATTAACTTTTTAGAGTGCTTAAATATTGTAAGATAGACTGGAAATAATCAAACAGATAAAAATATTACTGATAAACTTACCCCTTAATTTTGTATTTGAGCTTCTCAGAAATCAGAAATCAGAAATCAGAAACGTTTTATTGTCCTTCAACATTTACAACAAATGCAATAGACAAAAGTCAAGAAAATTCAGCTATTACATAAACAGCCTATTTTTAGGCAAAACAAAACAAGCCTAAAAACAAGTCAAAATAGGCTATACTAATACACATACTTACAAATAAAAAACAATGTGGAAATGTGAGGACATTAAAAGTTAACTTCGTCAACCTTAAAATATTCTTCTAAGTCATAAAAAGGATTTAAAAGTAACCAATCCTGAGCTCTTTTTTTAAATGACTTAAGGTCCAATTCTTTGGCATTGATGCTAAGCTTATTAAATAATCTTAATGAAATAACATGGCAACTATTTTTACATTTACTTAACCTACAATAAGGCACGTCTAATAGGAACTGATTACGTGTGTTGTGTGAATGGATATTAAACCTATAAACATGGGAACTAGTATTTTTCTCAACCCTAAGTAAACACATAAATATGTACAGATTAATCACAGTCAATATTCTACTTCTTATGAACAATGGTTTGCAATGCTCTTCAATTGGAGCTTTGTTTATTATTCTAACTACCTTCTTTTGGAGTATTAACACTTCACTTATGTGACTACTGTTTCCCCAAAGAATCAAGCCGTAGCTAATTATGGATTGGAAAAATGCAAAGTAGGCTACCCTTATGTAGGTTTCAGGTACAACACCCATAAGATTTCTAAGCAAACAGATTACTCTGGACAATCTTGCACAAACCAAATCTATCTGAGGAGACCAGCTTAAACATTTATCAATTTTTATTCCTAAAACTGTAATTACATTTTCATTGTTTACATCTTGTGACTCTACTGGAATGTTTTTAAGACTACACAATAGATTTTGAGTTTTATTCTTATTAAGACAAAGGCTATTAGCATTAAACCACATATAAGCTGAATCAGTTGTGAGCTCAGTTACTGACATAAGATCATAAAAGTTGGGATGAACACTCAAAAAATTGGTGTCGTCCGCAAACATGATGGTAGAGGATCTTTTAATATTGGCTGGTAGGTCATTGATGACTGTGATAAAAAGAAGGGGGCCTATAATCGAGCCTTGTGGCACACCTGAGCTAACTTTCAAGCAGCTTGACATCTTGCCTCCTGCATCAACGAATTGAGTTCTCTCTCTCAGGTATGAATCAAAAAACTTAAGCTGTATACCGCGGATGCCATAGTACTCCAGCTTAGTGATGAGTATGTTGTGATCAATACAGTCAAATGCTTTACTCAGATCACAAGCTGTGATCTGAGCAAAGCTCGACTCCTCAAAAGCTCTCAAAATCTTAGAAACAAGGTGGTCCAGGGCATCCACGGTAGACAAACTTTTACGAAAACCAAATTGAAAATTTGAAAAAATTTTGTTTGTGTCAAAAAAAGAACATACCTGAGGTTTGATGACAGCTTCAATGATCTTGCCAATTATAGGGACCAGAGAAATAGGACGATAATTTTTAATCTGTGATTTTTCCCCTTTTTTGAAAATTGGGATGACTCGAGAAATTTTTTGGGAGGTTGGGAAAACACCTTCTTTCAGACATAGGTTGATACAAAAGACAAGGGGCATTACTATTTCAAAGATAATGTGTTTAACAATATTGCTTGTGAGACCATACACATCTTTGCTTTTTGAGGATTTCATTTTTGACACTGCACTGAGCACATCATCACATGACACTTCATTCCACTCAAGTTGGGTGCTGGGCCTCTTCACTTGCTGCAGGAAGTGATCCGCAGGCAGGGGACTCACAGGAATGCTGGCTCGAACATCGTTTACGGAGTCGATGAAGAATCTATTGAAGTCCTCGGCAGAATGGTTGTTGCTGACCTCCTTCTTCTCTCCAGAAACTCGCCTTACTATCGTCCACGCTGCTTGGCATTTGTTTGCTGATCGCTCAATGAAGTCAGCGTTTGCGGCTAATTTTGCTCTGTTCGCAACGTTTTTATAGAGGCTTCTTAGTTCTTTGTAGGCACTGTACGAGGCATCAGTTCTAAGGTTCATGTAGACAGTACGGTAAGCCATAACTGTTTCCTTAAGTTTCTTGAGGTCATCACTATACCAGGCCACTCCACTTTTAGGCCTATTGTCCTTACGTCCGGAAATCTTCTTTGCGGTTAGGTAACTAACAGGACAAGTTAAGTTGAAAATATCAATCAGCTTGTTAAAAAAAAAATTGAAAGTCTCTTCAGCTGACTGATGGGCCGCACGGTTACTGTTCAGGATGTTAGGCCAGTTCACATTCCCCAGTTCAGCTTTAAAGTTGTTTAAGCACCTTGGGGAAAGACTGCGGTGCATAATTTCCTCAATATATGGTTTAGCAGCTTCTGATGCCGTTATTAGCCTCAACTCCAGGCCTTCGTGATCAGCTATGTCAGGGTGAACGATGTGTGTGGAGCAGGAGTTGGTCGGGACATTTGTAAAAATATTGTCCAGACAAGCTTTTTTGCGAGTAGGCTTGTCATTTAAGTAAACACAATCAAATTGCCTGAGTAGGTTAAGTAATCTTCTAACACTAGGCTGATCTCGGGTAACATCAAATCTTGAGTTTACATCGCCACCAATAACAATATTCATCTTCAATTTACTCAGGTGGATCAGTAGTAGCTCCAGATTATTCAGAAATATAAGTTCATCCCCTGCAGGAGAGTGATATATACAAACAATTATGATTTTAGGATTGTCTAAAACTATTCCCACACATTCAAAGCTTATTTCATGACAAAAACATTCAATGTCCAACACTTGGAAGGTAGGCCTAGTAGGCTTGCTATTATTGGCGAATATTGCGACGCCACCTCTTATATGGGTTTTACGACAAAATATCGATGAAAGCTCATAACCCTCAACGATAACATAACCTGCCTCGTTTGGGTTCAACCAATGCTCGCTAAGGCAGAGAAAGTCATACTGATTACTCACAGCATGTAGGCCTAAGATGTTTTCCTTGGAATGTAACCCCTGCACATTAAGAAACAAGACATTAAGGTTATCATTTACTGGGTTTAGGCTATGTTTGCCCCAGTCTCGGCCGTGCGTTGAGAGTTTAAATTGCGCCTTGGAAGTTTGAATTCACTGATGAAAGTGTTTTCCGGCCAAAAGTCCTCACAAAAAATGCTATCCCATAGCGATTCTGGAACACCAACTTTGAAGGAGTTATAGGTTGGATACTTGGTATTCAGCTTTTCAACAACATAATCGCCACTTTTGAATGATGTAAGATGGTTTACGACATCGGCCTTTTCGACCGAAGGTTGAAGTCATTGAAGCACCCATGATCTAAGTAAGCTTGGTTAAACAAACAAATGGAAAAATTGCCCCAGGATCTAAAATAGGCCCTCTTTTATTGATTATAAAAGAACAAAAACTCTAGCCTATAAAAAGTATGAAATTATAATAATTAGGTCCTAAACTTATGCAATAAAAGCAATAGGGTAGTCACAAAGTTGTTAAACCATTTGATATAGGCTATCATTTTATAACACCAAATTTTTTAAGGCAGAATTGTAAAAATGATCATTTCCTGACTATATTCCTAATGTATGGTTAGGTGGGGAGCGAGCTGGTCTAGTGGTTCGAGCGCGGGACTTCGGTTCCTGAGGTCCCAGGTTCAAATCTCGCCAAATCACCAATTGATTTTATCTAAGTGATAATGCCGCAACCCCTAGGTCTAGCCTGAAGTAATGTGAATACAATTCCGGGCTCGTTCCTAGCTTCCTAGGTAAAAAAATGTATGGTTAAGTTAGGTACCCTAGTTTATTTTAAGCCAGATACATAATAAACTTATATTAGGCCTAAATATTTTTATAATTTAACTTACCTGCCCTGAGGAAGATTGAATGATATTACTCCATATGACATTTCGAACTTGTTTGGAAGACAAAGTTCCAGAAATAGCTTTTCTCTTGGCAGGATCTGCTTTTAAGAATAGAGCATTTATTAATGCAATCGCATTTAGTTGAATTGCTTGGTTTTGACTTTGAAGGTGCATGACTAGGTTTGGAAATGTGACTTCCTTTTCAACTTGGCCATATTTTCCGGAGCTGTTAAGGACAATGTTCTCTAAAATAGAAAGGGAGGCCTGGACTACTTTAGCATCTTGTGCTGTACTTGACTGGTTATTTACATAACTGGCAACAGTGTTGATAAATGGAACCTCGAGAATATCCCAAGATACAATGCCATGCTCCATCAACTCAACAAAAGATAGCAGGGAATAAGCAAGCATACCGCCAACACACTTGCCGTTTTCAATAAGTTGAATTATAAATCCCAATCCTTGTTTATTGATGAACTCTAATGCAAATGTTATGTCTGTGCTCAAACTTGCCAATTTTTGTAGAGCAGAAACTTTCTCATCGTTACTTCCAGTGTTCAGTTTCTGTAAAATATCATGAGCTGTTTTTGATGGAGAATGAGCTAATCTTAGAACAGACCCATTTTTCACTTCATTTCGGTTTTTCTCAGTAACATAGTTTGAATTGTTAGGCTCAGAAAACTGGAGAGCGTACTGTTCTGAGTCAGAGAGATTCCAGCCATTGCACAGATCTTGAATTATAGCCGATAAAGGTTGAGTTTGGTTGAATCCCTTTAATTGTGGGTTCTGATCAGCCATTTCAACAGCAATTTTAACTATATTAGAGTCTGTTGTTGTAGGAATTTGAGTTTTAAACACTTTAGTATTCATGTTGGTGATTTGTTTTAACTAGGCCTAGCTGCAAAAGATAACAATTGTAGCTTATGATTCAATACAATTTTTAAGGAAAATGGTTGATCGTAAGATTTACACAGTTTATGAATAAGCGTGGTGAGCAACACTAATTATTTCATAATGTTATTTTCATCGTTGTATAGTTGTAATATCACAAAATAAAATTTACCAAACAAACACTAACACAGCACACAACCTTAACATTTTGACAATCACAACACAATCACTTCACTTTTGACAATAACTTTTTTTCATGTACTCCACTACTTCTGCTCCACCCACATGCATAGAGTCACAAGAACGAATTTACTACTATGCGACTATGCTTGTAGAATATAATACCACTGATTATAAGTACTCAATAATAGTATTAAAGTCAAAGTATAATATTACATTCAATGATTCAACCTTTGATTGTATCTTGCGTAAATGAGTTTCTTTCTTTCCTCTATTAAAGACTGTTCACTATTAAGACATCTTCGGTGTATTATTACGTTGTCCTCGACTACGTAGCAGTCGGCGAGCCGCCAGCGCACACTCCAACAACCAACAACTGCCACGGCCGCCTTTAACTCCAGGCCGCGGCCTTCGAAGTGGCAACGTCGCAAGTGGTGTTGTCAACAGCTGTTTTCTTTGGAAGCAGCTAATAGTAGCCTATTTGTGTTTTACGAAAGATTGGTTACTTTACTATGGCAATATTGACTCCACTTAAAATGTACAGATATAGATTTTTAATTCATATTGTTTCGGTTTTCAATTCTGTATGTTTTATTTTCAATATCTTACTAATAAATCTGAAAGTTTGTGTGTATGTTGCTCAATCACGCATAAACTACTGGACGGATTGGGCTGAAATTTGGAATGATGATAGCTCATCACATTCCCGATTAACATTAAAGCATATTCTTATCTCAAAAAACCTTATAGGCTCCGCCCCGGTGGCTCTGTATTTCTATTTCCCCATGTTAACCTTACGATTTTTCATATTTAAAAGGAATTAATGAATCTTAACAGCTGTTTCAATTAAACAAGTTATATTGGTTCTGTTCTATGATGTTCAATAGCATCAAAGTTACAAGGATTACCAACAGGGTGCAGCACTATTATTATTTTTTTATTTATGACAACAGCTAATTTCCAACCAAAAGGTGAGTGAGCGTAGCGAACGAACTTCAACCTGGAGGCGAGTTAGCGTAGCGAACGAGCTAACCTGAAGGCAAGTGAGCGCAGCGAACGAGCTCCAACCTAAAGGTGAGTGAGCGTATATAAATAAAATAATAATAATAAATAATAAAAAAAATTACAATGGGATGAAAAGTATACTTGTTTTGGCTATTCCTATTATACATCTGTTTTGGGCCCCCCATGAACCCAAAAAAGTGGTTATCAAAGTGATATCTGTGTGTGCGTCTGGTATGTGTACAGAGCTATTACAGACCACATACCTGTGTTTCAATTTTGAAGAAATTTGGTACTGGTAGGCTATGTGGCTACTGTACTAATTAATCATAGTATCCCCAGGGTTTTGTTATTTATTTCAAATTTTTTTTATATTTTGGGTTTCTATAAAAAAAACATAAAATAACAATAAAATCAAATTTTCTAAGAGATAGCCCAACGATTTTGTTGATTGAAATTGTGTGTTTTAGTTGGTTGTTTGTAGTCTTTCTCTAAACCACAGAGCATAGAATAAATATTGTTCTGTGCTCTAAACCCCCAGTTGTGTATGTTATACAGGGACAGGGTGATTGATATAAGTGTGCCAGCTGTTTTATTCGAAAGTAATAAGATATAGAAAAAATGTTAAATTGTAACCGCCTTGGATTTTTTATGTAAAAAATGTTGGTCAAGTTGAAAAAATAATTTAGCTGCCATTTTTCCAATATGGCCACCAAGTTTGATTTATCTTATGGAAGACCCTATATTTGACGATTTCTTAAGAAAGTAAGTGCAATTTAAAAACGTTTTTATTCTTGACATTTTTTTCTCCATAGCTAGGTACCGTACTCGTTTAGGAGTTACAGTGTGTTACAACTAAGAAAAAACTACTTGCGTGTAAATTCTGCAAGTAGGTTTAGAGAGTAAGCTAGGAGTAACTAAGTCTTAAAACTGCATCTACATTCGAAAAATACCATAAAAGTACACAGTTTTCCTATTTTCAAATTTGCTACCATTTTGGGAAATGACGGTAATTTTTGAAACAATGGAATCAATATTTTTAATGTATTTTATGCGTATTAGTATTTTTTTTATGTATCCAGTCTATTTTTAGAGCTCAACTAGGAATTATATCTTCTGTGACTTATTTAATACTTAATTGCAGAATGAGGATAATACAGCACCGAATTACCCCAATAATAAATCATGGAAGGAAGGAATGGGAGATGAAACAAAGTAGAACACAGTTTTAACAGTCTGATTTTATGCTGCATACAATAAATGTACAAATAACTTATTACATGTCAGATTTTCAAGGCATACACAAATATTCTGGCTGTGAATAACGATGAGTATGAACATTTGATGAATAATGCAATATTATATTATGAGTAGATATATACTTAGTATTGTCTCAGTTCATTATTTTAGAATAATCCTAAACATACAGAACGCAATAAACACCGTATTCTATGATATTATCTTTGATATGAAGATTAATTTTAAGCATGCTGGAAATTTGATAGAGTCATATAGGTGTTTTGTATTGTATTAGTGATACAGTAACACAACTCAAAAGTGAAGGCGGTATCGGAGGGTAATGTACTATACCCAATTGTTTGAACTGGGATAAGAGGAGTGTATAACTATATGCAATTTAAATGGGCATAAATGTTAAGTGGATGGGGAGATTGGTGTCAAACAATATAGGACATTTAGCATTGTTAAAGTTAATTTCAAAATGTACCTATATGTATATGTACATTCAATTATATCTTTCCCATTTAGCGCTGGTACATTTTTTTGGTATTCAGTTTAAATGCTCGCCCAAACAGCCGCTATGCGGTATGGGTAAACCGCCAGGTAATTTAGAACAACGTTAGCTAACAGGAGCGCCCACACTGGCGGGGTAAACCGGCACCGGCATGGGGCAATTTAACCTCGTACCGCCAAAAAGCTGCATGCTCTGTTTTTGCTGTGCGGTATTTCAGCAGTACCCATATTATCAGTATTGTACGTACATTCTTACAGCAAATCTTTAAATAGTTACGCTCAGTACCCCATACAGCGTACCGTGCGAGTATGTGCACCCTACCGCTACCGGTGTATCTGTTGAGACAGTGTAAATCACGATTACTAGAAAAATACCGGTATGGATTATAAACATAAACAAAAAACGTTTTTGGCCCGAAAATAAACATTATTTAACATTGCTTAAATGGAACTGCCAAAATATATGTTCAATGCTATTAGTATAGGATTCGGGCCAACAAAGTCATTTGTTTATGTTTATGATCCATACCAGTATTTTTTTAGTATTCGTGGTGTAAATACACCGCAGACCCCGTAACACAGCAGTTTGGGCAGGCCTTTATGTATCATGGCGGCTTATAAATTCAAACCATACAATTGAATTATACTGTAGTTGTACAAAATATGTCAGGATACAAAAGTAAAAACATACACATGTTTAATACACCTGTAATTAGGCAATAATAATAGGAAATAATAGATGAGGGTATTCTGATGTATAAAGTTTAGATGGTCAAATTGATGTTTAAAACATGTAGAAAAATTACAATTATAAGGGTATACTACATTTTTAACATGATTGCTCAAGTGGAGGGCTATGGCTTAGCTGAATCATATCTCAACTTAACTTAGAAATCTTTACTACAGAAATTTACATTTTTCAATTTAAACTTCTACCCTGATTCAAATATTGGTCGTTATTTACAATTGAATTATCTAATCTAATTGCTTAATCTTGTATTATTACTATTTTATATACTGTACATATATACGTTTTCGATTTACTATCAACTTGTTGAAAGATGATTCCAATTTTAAGATATTGTTGTTTTTTTATTATTGAAATAGCTAATGGACTAACCATCTTAAGTCTTACTTTTTAGCCTTATAATGTGAATGTACAGAGTCAAACCCCAATTAACCAGAACACTAAAATATTTATTTTGCTTTGCACAAGTAAAATGCTTTATGGAATGCAGAAGTCCTAAACATTACAACTGTGATTCTAAGATGAAATTGGACATGAGTTACATTTCTTGTGAGGTACAAGATTTATTAGTTACAAATTATATAAAATTCTTTTAAGTCAATCACCATACAAAATATTAATAACTGTGCTTTTATTTGATAAACCAATAGACTGTATACCGGAAAAAAATGAAAACTATACATTTATTGTAACTATTTAGATCACACAAATCTTGTAAAGATCTAAAAATATTGCACCGTGCCTCAAATAATTCTAAAGAAATTGACTTGCTCATAGTTTACTGAAAGTGGTTATAGCTAGGAAGTGCCATCACTGTTACACAAATTCCATGTGGGTAGCTTAGAAGTATTGTGGTTTTAAATGACGTGAAAGATGGAGAGAAAAATCAGCTGCTCATAACTAGTCTATTGGCATTTTGGTTAAAATCACCTACCTAGGCTACTACATTGTTGTCATTCTAGGTAGTGTTAACTATTACTGTGTGTAGGATCAGAAGAAAATCTTATATTTTAAGTGAAATGCTGTTTAATCAAATCCAAATCTAATGAGAACTAAGTTAAGTATGAGATCATATACATTTTAAATACCTCAAAAAACTATTAACGCCTAACATTTTTTGCCAATTTTATGCATTAAAAACAAGTTTTTCATCGAGTAGCAAATGAAATGCTGCAGTGGGCAACGATGGATGTGAAAATGTTGTATAGCAAAACTCCAGTAATGGCAGTAATGTAGTATAATTGGTCTAAGGAGAATTTGTTTATACTGATTAAGCCAAGGGCAAGCTTTAACAGGGTTCAGAGCATGTATGGTGGAGTACACCATGGTTTTTAACGTCAATTAATGTTTTAATGCATAAATCAAGATAAAGCCAAAAGAAAATCATAACAAAACATTTTACTGCTAATAAAAACCAACGATATTGTCCCTTGCTAGCTGCTAACCTTGCTTACATGTTTTGCTAGTCATGAAAAGATTTGTTAAACAATTTACAGAAATATGAAAAACTTTTTACTACTTTCAAAAGTTTCAGAGAAGTAAGTAGCTTAATATCACGTAAATTTATATAAATCAAAATTTAAAAATATATTAAATATAAAATTACTACAAAACAAAGAATATTATTATTTTGTATCCAACCAACTAAAGGTCCTTACACAAATACAACAAATTTAATTACATTCTGAACAGTGAAAACTGTGAAGGTGTAGGTACCTACTTAAAAAAACTACACTTGTTAGGTACAAAAGTAGCTCTAGCTTAGAAACTACTTAAAAAATGTTTGTGATTTTAAATTGCTTAGGAGCAACATCGTCAAAAACAAAAATAACTTTATGCAAAATTTTTAGAAAGGCTTGTTTGATAGTCTAAGCTTATTGTTTTAACAATGCTGCAGAATATGTTACATAATACAAGTTTATGAATATTTTACAAACCTTTTATGTTTCACATCAACACAAATCATTTTAAAATACTAGAAGACTAAAAACTGAAAAAGTATTTGTGAATTGAACAAAAATCACTTGCACACGGCAAATGCATCCCGATTCTGCACTAACTTTGCTTAAAATATGAGAAAACATTTGACAGTAAAAATTGTACAAGTTTAAACAACATAACAATAAATATTTATTTGTGCTTAACCTAGTTTATAACTTTATATATTAATTTTGTGCCTCTTCCTATACTACACTTTACTTACATAACTCTCTTTGTGCTTGTTAGATAGTAAAATCAAATTAACCCTTTGAGGTCGAATTTTTTTTCTTTTTTCGGTGAGTATAGGTTGCCATTCAAGCAGTCGGGAAAATGGGGTGCACCGACCTATACTCGCCATTCGACTGCAAAGATCACCCTTCGACCGCAAAGGGTTAAGCAATCTAATTGTCAATATTTTCAAAGTTCTTTTAAGTAAGACTAGTGTACCTGTTGCTTGAATTCGAGCAATTGCGAATAATTACAGGCGTTATTTAAAAAAAAAATAACAGTAATAATTTCCGATGACTTTGGAACAGTCGACTCAAAGATTATGGAAATACTCACGATGTACATAACAGATTGATATAATCAAAATTTCTTGTAAATATCATATAATTTTTCAAAAGCTGATCCTGTTTTTTTGTGTTTTCTACAAATATTTCTCACTCTTAGCCGCATTAGGTTGTCCATAAAAACGATTACGATTTCTTTTTCTTCTACTTGGTGGTGTTCTATGACTTTCCTATGTTTTCATTGTTTGCAAATCGGCTCTTTCAATGATTGTTCAAGAAATTTAGCACAGTTTAAATTCAGTTTCCTTTTTAGTATATCAAATTGTCAAGGCATTCTCACTTTTTTCCATTGTAATATTTACGCCAACCCAATTTCAAACTAGAAAAAAACACCAACTTGATGGCTGAACGAAAAATCTATTAGTTTAATGGTTTTATTTTTATTTTCCATTATAGCAAACTTTACAGTGGTTTAGGTCTTTTTTGTCTACGCCAGTGGTATTTTACAAGAGGTCAACGTGAGAATAAAGTTTTGTTTATGTGCCGGGAATTGAACCTGTCCCTCCCGCCCCGAAGTCCGAGACGCTAACCACTAGACTAGCATCACACCCAAACACTATCTTAAAATCATTCTACTACTATAATGAAAAAAAAAAAATGAGACACCCCTTTTGTTATAATTGTAACTGCTAACAACGTACTATTAATTTTAAGTAGGTATATAGTGCTGCAGTTTGATTAAATTTAAATTAGACTATTCAAACGCAAACACAAAGAGAGTTTTAGTTCCCAGTTAGCCGTCCTATACCGGAGTGCCGAAGCTAGCGTCTCCCAGGCCGTCCACCAAGATGGTCGACTCTGTCTGTGGGTGGTACAGCTGACTCGTGTCCCTCGTTCGCCTCGTCGTATGAATCTTCGGAGAGTCGAGTTCCGGTTTCTGCTCAACGGCTGACTCTGCGACCGGTTGAACTGTCAAGTCTTGCACTGCATCACTGTCACTGTCTGTTTTTTCACTAACACTGATAACCTGAAAATAATTTCATCATTGATGATATGCTTAAGTTGAGGGATTACTGCAACAACCAACTAGTTTTTGCATCGCAATTAGAAATTTTTTTACAGAGAAAGTACCGGTGACAGGCCATTAAGCTTTTTTTACAAAAGAGGAAATTAATTGTCTTGGTAGCCGAGTGGCTATAGCGCTTGCCAAGATAGATTCAAAACACTAATGCCATTTGTCAATGGGATATTATTTAATTACGATCTCTAACAGGTTGACGCTAGATGTGAAAAAGACCATTGTTTGGATGGCTCCCTTACAAAAAACACAAAATATGACACAGGCATAGCCTACATAAAGATGATGTATAAAAATACAAAATTCAAAATTTGTTTAAAATTTAGTCTCAAACATCAACAAAGATTTGTGTTACCTTGTCCTCAACTCCCTCTGCCCACACTCCACTGGGGGTTAGTGAGCGGAAGATCTTCTGCAGTGTGGTCACCCCGAAGTTCCGAGGACTGAGGTGAGGGGTCGGGTTGACTGTGGGAGGCGTCGAGACTTTGTTGTCCATAGTAGAGGGGTGACCTTCTAAAGTAGGGCTACTGGAATAGCTACATTCCGACTCCCCTCTGAAAACAAGCCACATATTACAATAGAACATTACTTACGAAGGTAGGTATTTTAAGCCAAGTATGAATGAAGATGAGTGTAGGATGAGTGGCCTGATATTGTAGTCTTCTTACTGACTAAGGCCGACATGTTCCTTAGACAGGACTGTTAATTAATATCCCATACAGCCAATGGCAACTAAGGACCTTACAGTTTATAGTGGAATCCGAACCAATAATCTACCAACAAAAAAAGTTGGCCTCATGAACGTAATTGTATTCTTTGAACAAAAGCATTCACTGCTTAGTAGATCTGATCATCAACAACAGATCCGTAATACAGATTATTTTAATTTTTTTTTTTTTTTTTTTTTTTAATAGTACTGAGTTTTGCTGGATAATGTGTACAGTATGTGTGTGGGTACGATCTGATAGTTTAAACACAGACTTTAAGGATCAGTCTTTGATTATTCAACTTTTATTGTGTTCTGAACATGACATAGTTCTACAACTGATTGATTTGGGAGATTTCACTGCACTAATTTTGTCTTGAGATCAAAATTTTTAAACTTTTGGTAAACACAGCTTTACATTTTCAAAATTTGAGGTAGGATTTTTTAAAGTTGCCTTGTCTGTACTCAGAAGATAAGCAGTTTTAGGTACCTAGTCTTGACTTTATACACACCTCTTTGCCACCCGTCTTAGTCACAGCAGAAAAATGTGGATGAGTATACAAGTATTCCATTTTTGTATATATTTATTACATACTGTAGCCTACACTTAGTACTAATTATTATTTTTTTATTTTCACCTTCTTACCTAACTGAGGAGTCAGGGGTTCGAGGGGCAGTGGGAGTTACCAGCATTTCCCCGCCTTTCTTGTCTGATTCCGCAAATCCATTCATTCTGTAAACCATCCCTTCAGGAAGGTCTTCAAAAAACCTATACCTGAAAATAGAAATCGTGTCAAACATTTGTGGCTAATGATTAACTAAGGTACTCAGTGAATACCAGCGTTTATCAACGAACAATTTCTCAAACTTTTAATTACACAAACATAGACCTTTTAGCCAATAAACCTGTTACAAACCTATATTTGTTCAAAATACTTAAAATAATGGTATGAATCTTTCACTTTACAGGACACTCTAGAAAGACTAAATGGTATTCATTAGAGTAAGGCTGTATTACCTACCTGAGGTTGGATAGGTCAGCGTCTTCTTCACTGTCATCATTGCCAGCAGACAAATATTGCACCCTTAAGGTAACATTCCCTGTTTGGCTACTAAGTAGGCTGACTGCTTCCTTATGACTGGCCTGAAAATCACACAATTAATAAGTAGCCTCCAATCTAATAAGCATAAATAACCATTAGGTAACAGTTTCCAACATATTTAACAAATTGATAATGTCAAATCAGATAGTATGGTTCATAACATAACTGTCGTTTTTGACATGAAATCGTTTCATATCTCATGACTTGAGCTTTTGTCTCAGCCTTGTTGTAGTTGACCGTAACAGAGCACTACTACCATAATTGTATACTACCATTACTACTGTAGAAGTGATTTGTTACTGCTTTAAAGATGACATTTCTGCAATGAAACCAAAGCATCAGCACAAGTCATCTGCAATATGACACATATTTATCCTGAAGACCATGAATTTTTAGGTTAAGTGTTGCTGCAGAAGCATTTGAGTACTTCTGATGCATGATTCGTATAATGTGATTGGTCCCCACAGTTACATGTTACAAGTTAGTTTTATTATCATGAAGTCAACTGTATAAGTATAAAATATTGTGTTTTGAATCTTTTAAAACAAAGACTAACTTAGAATGTGTCACCACTTACATGTATGGGAGTTTAATGTACCTATATGGTAGTGAAACTAGTTTATTAAAGCAGACTCCTTGCAGCTACGTTGCATTTCACCTCCTGCTTTTGTTTGGCTGGGAATCAAGAACTAATTTTTGCAAACAAAAATAACTCAAAGTATAGCCAAGGAATAGAGGATAAATTCTCCACAAATTGGCATGCAGTGGATGCTGGACCAGACAATTTCTGTTTGGCAGAAGATGCTTTGTGGTGGGGTAAATTTTTACAATATTTTCCTAATTGTTGCCTCTTTATGATGTTGGAATTAAAATACTAAATAGTCAACCATAAGAATTATGTTTTAGTCCAACCTACCTGGGTGAGATCGATCCCGTTGACACTCAACACCGAGTCTCCGACATACAAGTCCTGTGTGTCACCTCCTGGCTCCAACTCAGATATAAGGATAGGCACTCCGTGTTCCCTCCCTCCCTGTAAATAATCGATGGTGAATACATGTTAAAATAAACTTAATATTTAACAAGAACTGTTATGAAAACTGATTATGGAAGCATTATAAGCAAATTCAGATAGTTAATGAGACATAACAGACGCAACAGTTTACAATTAAGTTATTCTTTCACTTTGGCTTGGTTAAAACATTGGTGAATGCAACGAAAAACCAGAAATTAACATTAGAATGCTCAGACGGTGACATTCAATTGTGTCAATTTCAATATAAATTTGTAACAACTTTATAATGGAAATAAAATGTCTACTTCTATCAATTGTCAAAGACTAAATATTCCTTCAAAGGATTAGTTTTGTTCAAGGAAAGGCCCTATGTCTGGATTTTTAATTGTAGAATAAAGGAGGATCAGCTAATTTAACTAAGAAGAAGTACTGGCAGGCTATTAAACACACAGAAGACACATACAGTAAAATACACACTATTTTGTATACAGGGGGGAAGTTTGTCAAGTGTATAGAAAGAAGGTTCACAAAATGGTTGCTGCCATGGCTCTTACCACTTATGCAGTGTTGCCACTTCTCACTAGTTCACTTACAAAAAAATAGAGGATGAGTTCAACTGTCATTTTCTATTTGAAACTAGCTATAACATTAACGCCAGATTAAGATGTCTACTATCAATAGTCAAAGAGTTTACTAACTGTAATGGATATCCCCAGCCCCTGGTCGGGCCGTCGATGCAGCTCTATCGTCCTAACATTGCCGAGCTTGGCCGCAGGTGGTGTCCGATGGTCGGTTTGTCTCACGGCTCTCATCACAGTTTTGTGCCTCTGCAGTAGGATCTCCGACTCCAGCTGACTCCACAGTCGGTTGCGTACGTCGCCCGTCATGTCAGACCGGCCGAGCAGTTGGAGCTGTTGGATCCTGGAATATCACCTTGAATTAGTCCAGTAGGAAATTCAAAAGGGAATGTTTTTTCCAAAAAGTTAACTATTCTTGCGTATTTATCGTGTAGTAGACTGTTAAACAGTGTTAAAACTAAATTTAAAGATAAATTCATAAAAGAATTGGCACGTACCTGCCAGCCAACTCCTTGTCCAGATACCTGGCCGCCAGCCTGGCCCCGCACACTTCTGCCTGGAGACTCACGAGTGTGTGACGCAAACTGTCATTCTCCAGCTCCAGCTGACACTTCCAGTTCTCCAGCGACATCACCAGGGCATCCAGCTTGATACCTGAGACATCATTGGCAAAGGCGCTACGTTCAGATTTAATTTTCCTAAATTATTTAGACAGTTGTTTTCGTACATGTACCTGGTAGGGATTTGGAAGATATGTTTGACAAATAATTAATATACAGCTGACAGTGTATAATTTGCATCAGAAATAGTTGACTTAGAGTTTAGTGATCAGTATTTACACCAAAAAATACCACATGTGCATCTAACTTGAGTTCAATCAATTAAGCAATACAATACTGGTATGCAAAACTGTTGTCACAAGATCTCATTACGGTACTTAAAACTATTCTAAGATATACGATATACTCTTACTATATAACCAATGCTAGAAGTAACGAGTTTCGACAGTTTGAGCAAAAAAAGTGTTTCTAATATAAAATTACCAACATAAATGAAGTGCAATTATGTTGCTGGGTTCGATACCCAATGGAGTTGATTCTAAACTTAGATGCCATTTGTTCTGAGCTGTTATCCATCATGGTAAAATTTCATCCAACAAAATACCAAAGATTGGATACCTTACAAAAAACTTAAACAATGCCATTGGTTAACAAATATTCCAAAACAAATAAAAGGCAATCAATTTTTTTTCAATACATTCCTCGCTTTACCTGACAAGGAAGCTTTATGTGTGGGCGACCGCAGAACCAGGCCTTGCTGCAGCTTGTTCTTGATGGCCGCACCATCGTCTGTGTTGTTGATGTGCTGCAGCTGCGTAGTGTGTAGTTGTACCAACACTGCGTGCAGCTCCTCCTCCAAACACTGACTGCGGGTCTTGGTCTCGACTAGCTCTGCTCTCATGTTCACCAACTCTGCCTGTCAAAATAACTATAGATGAAATCACGTTGTCTGTGTTATTGATGTGCTGCAGCTGCGTAGTGTGTAGTTGTACCAACACTGTGTGCAGCTCCTCCTCCAAACACTGACTGCGGGTCTTGGTCTCGACTAGCTCTGCTCTCATGTTCACCAACTCTGCCTGTCAAAAATAACTATAGATGAAATCACGTTGTCTGTGTTGTTGATGTGCTACAGCTGCGTAGTGTGTAGTTGTACCAACACTGCGTGCAGCTCCTCCTCCAAACACTGACTGCGGGTCTTGGTCTCGACTAGCTCTGCTCTCATGTTCACCAACTCTGCCTGTCAACAATAACTATAGATGAAATCACGTTGTCTGTGTTGCTGATGTACTGCATCTGTGTAGTTGTACCAACACTGTGAGCAGCTCTTCCTCCAAACACTGACTGCGGGTCTTGGTCTCGACTAGCTCTGCTAGAACTAGAAATGAAATCACGCTGCTTAGATTTTTTAATGTCCTTTACATTCCAGAATGCTAGGCTCTATTCCGGATCAGTTTTATACATTACCTCAGAGACTAAGCCTAGTGGGTTGTGGAATTTGCATATAGCTAAAGCTATTAATTATTGGCAGGGATTGAAATCCGAACCTCAGGAACCAAAAAATTTACCAACAGGAACCAGAAGCTTTACCAATAGACGTGATGAGTTAAACTCCCGGCACATCCACAAAAATTTCAGGGGCTTGGATCGCTTTCCCGTAAAAGTGTTTGTGACTAAAAATTTACTGAAGTAGACATTATTAGTCTTTGGACTTTCTTCTAGAAAAGACTAGACATTTTACAGTTTAAACTAAAACTTAAGAAAGGCTCCAAACCACCAATCACGTCAATAGGCAATTAAAAAAAAACAACACAATATTTTGTTGCCGTTAGTCAACAATAATAGCGAAAGCTAATGGTAGTTTCCCAGTTTCCGAAAAAATACCACCACAGTAGTTTAGAATAGTAAACCTGGGGCAAGGGACATACACGCCTAGGCCTGTTTCTCATCAGCTGATTAATTTCCTTATCTCTATGTTAACAGTTGGCTGTGGCACCCACCCAATTGCTCGGGACAAAACACAATCCGTATAAAGGCTAATTAAACTTGAGAGTTTTCAAATTACCATTGTACTTACAGCCCAAAACAATCACGAAAAAATTAAGTAGGACCACCCGCAGATGATTGCTTTAAGGCAATCAAATCATATGATTACGCCTCCAAATTGGTCCGGCCCGGTAGGATCACGGAATAAACGGGAGTACCGTACAAACAATAAAATTTTATTGGTCCATTATTAGTCGGTAAATAATAAGTAGCAAAAGGTTCTTAAATCGGTAGCGGTTATTAGGCCGTTAATTGCGCTGTTGCACTGTTATTAACGTTTCCATAAAAATGTTTTGTTTGTATTTTCCACATACAATACTCCGAAATATACTGTTTCAAAACTAAGCACATGGAACTGTATTTAAATCGCAAATAATAATAACTTTATAACTGATCTCAACAATTAATAACCATAGTTGAGTTGTTGTTAAACTGGTTAACAATAACCAAAACTAATGGGTTTATTTATTCTATGTTGTTGAACGTCATGTTGTATTGATCAGCATATTGGCAACGATTTGGGGTACAGAGTGCCCAAGTTCAAGTAAGTAAGTCTAAAGTAGTTTTCGTTTTACAAGAAAATGCCTAATTCACATAAAAGTGCCATTGTACAGTATTAAGGAAAATTTCAGAATGCATTCTCAAAACTGCCTGATATATTTGTAGAAAATGAAGACAAGCAAGAAATGCCCGAAACGCAGAACAACTACTTATGGCAATATTTGAGATAATTGAATGTGGAACACTTGCTTGGAAACAATGCGATTCATTATGTTAAATGCACAAAGTTTAAGAAAACATACCTTGGTATGGTGACAACTATTTCTGCAATTCTGTCAAAGCAGGCAAGTCTTTGAAAAGTTCTGCTAATCGTATGGATCCATGCAGGATTATTTCTGCCTGAATTGCGAAATCTGGCTAAGATTGAGAAAATGTCGATCGATTTAGGTTCAAGGTCGGGTTCAACCAGAACTGTGGGTTCAACAGATGACATTACCATGCAAACATGGAAAAAATACCTATACAAAGGATATGTATGTAATCTTTACTTATGAAACTTGTCATAAATGTTGATAGTTCTGTGACAAACAGATAAGCTAAATTGATAAAATAGTTGAATTATATCTATAAACATTGTTTTAATTCATTGATTTTGTAAAACCATGAAACGTTATCGCTCCGCTCAACTGGCTTTCACTGCTATGAAAGCAATCCTAAGGTGATTTCCAAATGAATAAATTATACATACAAAATGGCTACACCAATAATTTAACCTAGAACCTTACACCAGATACAATTGTCGATTACATCATATTCACGATACTCACCAAAGACTAAATTCTCACAGGTAGCTAATTAAAGTGTTGATTCTATGAGAAGCTGAATTGGCATTTCACGTGAAAACGACCTTCCATAGTCGCGTAAACATTCCTACGACGTCCGTAACCTCGGCGACCTTCTGTTTTGGCGATTTGACGGCAAAAGGCTAAAGGTGAATGTACACAGGGTAAACAATTATACGTGGTTCTACATAATATGAATTCGATATAAACGGGAAAGTATGTATGTAGGTACGCAAGTCTGGTGTTACATCACCTAAGAACTAAAAGATCAATAGAGCTGACATTTTCTGGGAGGTTTCATGATGAACAGTAAAAGTTTTGCATGATTTTGCCGTTTACTTACTGTTAAAATTATGCAATGAGCTACAAGAGAAGAGGCCAGACTAAAATCGAATATAAGACAAATCCATTTCAAGTGAAAATGTTTGTTGATCGACTACTATTGCTAAATTACAATGTGTACCATTGAAATATTCTTGTCCCTATTGATTTCAAATATCGGTTACGATTTTCAAGTGAATACAAGTTTAAGTAAACATAGACCTATCTTTTATCAACTATCATATTTATTTTGGGAATTTAAAAGTGCCTCGGCACAACTTCTAAAGCGGTATAATTGAGGTTGTTTCTAAAACCAATGGCGAATGTGTTATTTAATAAGATAGATCAAGAAAACTTATTTTCTTGCGCGCCCTCTCCCCATTGCGAAGCACATGTGTATCGGTGAGAAAGTAAATAAACAAATCAATCATGTATCATCGTACAAACGTTAAAGTCGGTTCCTAAATCAAATTGAACCGTTGTCTTTACGATGAACAACATTTTGTGAACCTAAGGCGTTTAACTTGTTGGGAGGATTGTAGGCTTCACAATAATCTTATTATGTTTATCATCAAGTTCCTATGGCAACACTGAACGCAGCCGTGCTAAGTGCTTGTACGATTTACGATATGTTTATAGCCTAGAGATGACTCCAGACGTTGTTGGGATAGGTCGTAGTTATGTTTCCGCATACCTTACCCGTGAGACAACTTCTTTATTTAACCCTTGGGTGTAGTTAGCATACTTGCTCATCCCCACTCATAGCAGGTGGTGTGTGAACATTATTCGAAGATAGAATTGTGATCTTAATGGTTCCAACACTTAAGCGTTGTTCACTATGACCGTTAAACTATTATCGTTTGTGACGTTTAAAATGACTGTGATTCGCAAGGGGGTTTGAAGACATGCACGCGGGAGCGCCAGGCCCGTTTTTGACCATGTCAGCGCCCTAGGCACAACTAACAGTAGCGCCCCTTTGCAATATATAACAGGGTGACCCACAACCGGGAAATCCGGGAACTAAGCGTGAATTTTTTTGAACCAGGAATTATGTGTTAATTTTCTATTTCTACCTGGAATTGTCAATTTACAACAGTGACGTTTCCGTGACCACGGGAGACGGGAGGCGATAATATGTCTCCACAAGGCCTCGAGGGATGATCAGAACTTTGCCGCGATCGCATGAAATGATAATAATATCTAAACGACCGCGGGATATGATCATGATTTTACCGCGATCGTGCAATACGATAATGAGATCCACAGAGCCGTGAAGGATAATCAGAATATTGCCGCGATCGCATGATACGATGTTAATGTCTAAACGACCATGGGATATGATCATGATTTTACCGCGATCGTGCCAGACTATGATAATGACTAAATGACCGCGGGATATGATCATGGTCCACACAACCACGGAAAACAGTCAGAAATTTGCCACGATCGCGGAAGACGATAATGATATCCACATAACTGCGGGATATTATTAACATTTTGCCGTAATCGCGGGAGACAATTACGATGTCTGCACGACAGCGGGAGACGATTACGATGTCTTCACGACCGCGGGAGACGATTACGATGTCTTCACGACCGCGGGAGACGATTACGATGTCTTCACGATCGCGCGGAGACGATTACGATGTCTTCACGATCGCGCGGAGACGATTACGATGTCTTCACGATCGCGCGGAGACGATTACGATGTCTTCACGATCGCGCGGAGACGATTACGATGTCTTCACGATCGCGCGGAGACGATTACGATGTCTTCACGATCGCGGGAGACGATTACGATGTCTTCACGACCGAGGGAGACGATTATATGATGTCTTTACGACAGCGGGGGACGATTGCGATGTGTACACGATCGCGGGAGTTACAATAATGATGTCTACTCTACACGGCTGCGAGGGATGATCAGAATTTTACCACAATCGCGTAAGACGATGATAATGTCCACTCAACCACGGGAAAGATCAGAAATTTGCCTCATTCGTGAAAGACGATGATGATCTCCAAACAACCGCGGGAGATGATTACCATTTGCCGCAATGGCGGGAGAGGATGACAATGCCTCACGACCACGGGAGGCGATGATGTCTTCACGGCTGTGAGGGATTATCAGAATTTTATCGTGATCACGCAAGAAGATGATAATGTCCACACGACCCCGGGAAAAGATTACAATTTTGCCTCATTCGCG